GTGAATATAAATTAAAACCACTCCTGCCAGGGTAGACAGAGACCTCAAGGGCTAATTAGTAGTGTTTTTGGCAGTCAGAAGCAATTGAAATCCAAACACCTAATAACAAATAACGTTGTGTAGATTTTTGGGACTTAGTAATTTATTTTATTTTAGCTTCCAGAAACAAACCTTGGGAAATGAATGGTTTCTGGGTACAGATAACGGAAGAGAGAAAGCAATTAAATCAGGAAAGAGCGGTGAAACAGCAGTGAGAGCAAAGATATTTTTGCCTGGTCTTGTACTAGAACTCTATTTTTTTTAGAAATAAGACATTTACCACGGGACTACCAATGTGTCCATAGCCCAAAGACTGAGTAACAGTTATATCCAAACCAGAGAAAGGCAAGTAACCAGTACATGAATCTAGGTTTAGAAGGTCAACTTCTGTGAAAGGAAAGGGAACTAATATATACTAATTACTTAGCTTGAATAGCTTTATTCTTATCCCCGCTATTTTACCCTGGAAAGATGACCTATAGGGATTAAATGTGGTAGCCAGTCTCCATGCTTGGCTTAGTGACCCCAACCTGTTGGTATTCATTCTTCTCCACCCTACACTCTATCCTGGAAAAGTGATCTGTAGGGATTGGTTCAACCTGCTTCCAAGCCTCTGGCTTGTGGTTGGATTACACCCTGTGGGAGCCTTGGAAGGAAGGTGTGGTGAGGTTGTCTCAGGTCGGCTGTGTACCTCAACAGCAGATCGTTGCTCCTATCAAGCTGGTCTCTGCTCCACTCAACATTCTCTCCCTGTTCTGGTCCTTCTGGACCTAGGGATGATCATAGTTCCACTACTGCTGGACCCATGTTTCTGCGCATCTTCCGTGGTTTCCATACCCCCATCCACGCGTTTGTAACTAGCCCCTTTGTAAATAAAACTTTAAACATATTATTTTATTTTTTAAAATTTCTTTATTGATTAAGTTATTACACATGTGTCCTTATCCCCACATTACCCCCTAAACAAATTATTTTAAGCATGTCGTGTTTCATATTGGAGCTCTGACTGATACATTTATTGGTATCAGAAGTGGCTCCAGGAAACAAAGTCACAACTGGATTTGGGATGTATTTGGTTATATATTTAGAGGTCCAGGAATAGCCTCATTGCTGGGAGAAATAGGTCAATTATAAATTACTTGAATGATCATTGGTGGTAGCCTGGGATAAAGGGAAAAATGTTGGCTGTAAAGAGCTTCTGAAAGTCCCATGTATGAGAATCACAACACAAACCCCTGGAGTAAAGGCTTGACCCTGTGCCAATAACTATCTCCGGTTATATATTTAGAGGTCCAGGAATAGCCTCATTGCTGGGAGAAATAGGTCAATTATAAATTACTTGAATGATCATTGGTGGTAGCCTGGGATAAAGGGAAAAATGTTGGCTGTAAAGAGCTTCTGAAAGTCCCATGTATGAGAATCACAACACAAACCCCTGGAGTAAAGGCTTGACCCTGTGCCAATAACTATTTTCAATTTGAAAAGTAGCTCTTGGCTTGATACTGGTGAATACTGAATGCCTGACCATGGATCATGAAATATTTATGTGATGTAAACCACCCATCATGAGCTGAGTTATCTAATTCACTGAACCATAAATCTGGGCATGCACTGCAGTAATCCATCAGAATATGGAAGTGGTATATATGAAAATGGGCCCTAGTTGATCCAAGAAAGCTTCATGAACAGGTGACTTATATTCACATGGTACCTGTTTTTTTTTCTACTTCTCATTTAACTCACACCAGAGGCCTCAAGAAGAATTCCCTATCAGACCTGATTTACAGACAGACCTGCATCCTGAGCCCACACGAATGGGAAGTCAATAGCCATTGTGCTACAGCCTGATGCAGGGGTGCCCTAAGATAGTGCTGGAATAAAATCCTCCCAGAACTTTAAATACATCAGTTTGTTCACTTCATTAGGGCAAGATAGTGTCAGGCATTGCTCTACATTGACTCATGGGCAATGGCAAGAAGTTGGCCTGCTGGTTGGGAACATTGAAAGAACAAGATCAGGAGATTGGTGCCAAGGAGTTCTGGGGGGGAGGAATACATCTGAAACTCTTGCAATGAGGACAGAATGGAAAGATATCTGCAAGATTATCTATTACGTGGAGTTAGTCTTCTCTTAGTTTCATTGGTGCTTGCTCAATGGTTCTCTGAATACTCTAACAGTGTGTCCCACAATTCAGAAGCAGCTGGCTTGACAGGACAGAGGAAGGGTCTGCTAAAGGCTCAATTACTATAACATCTAGGAGACAACATCTTGCAAAGTTGGAGTGGTGTCCTATAAGATGCCATAAATGTTTTAAAACCAGCAGCAAATATGTAGCCAGGATACGTGAGTAAAAATTGGAATGGCCCTCTCACCATTCAACCTAATAACTCATTGGAATATTGTTGTTCTCTTTCCCTCTGACCTTGGGTTTAGTGGATTTGGAGACTTCATTGCGTGAGAAAAGAATTCTTTTCTTAGGGAATATTGGAGGTTGAGACTTCCCTCTGGACATTTTAGATTCCTTGTATTTCTGAATTGGAGTCAGTTTGCTGGAATGAACATCCTGATTACCAGGAAGAAGTTGGGTTGGTCCATCACAATGAGGGCAAGGAGGATGATGCTGAGAGGTGGACTGTACTGGGTGTGTTCTGTTTGTGCCCCTCTCCCATGTTCCAAGACTTTAGAGATGATATCTCAACAACCCTATAATAATGATAGGTCTTCTTGAAAAAAAAAAAAAGACCGTACCCTTTTATGTAATGATGTTTACTTTGAATTTATATTAGTTTACACAAACACTCCATCCATGCTTTTGTTCCGGCCCTCCGGTCCAGTTTAAGAACCCATTGTGGCCCTCGAGTCAAAAAGTTTGCCCACCCCTGTTCTAGGAACTTTACATGAATTGATTCAATTCATCCTCACAGTAGTCTTACATGCTAAATATCCTATTATTCTGATTTTACAAATAAGGAAATTGCTTAAGTTAAGTAACTTGTACAAACCCACATATCTAGAAATTAGAGGTTAACCTCTGCCCTATAAGGCTTCTCAAGGGGGTAGGTATGATTATTTTGTTTTTACACGCAGAAAAACAAAGAGTTAAAAAAGTAAAGGAATTTATCCCAGGTATAGTCAGCCACACAGCTAGGATTCAAATCCAGATCTGTTACCCTCAAAGCTAATGCTACTGTCTAATACACTCTGCTTCCTTCACATACGTCATTTTCAGGTGTGAATAGAGAAAGAGCTGACTGTGAAATGCAAATTCTGTGAATATAAAACATCCTCTTGATAAATTCAAAATTTATTTATTTATTTTTAAAAAGGCAAATGGTCTAACTCAGTAATTTTCAACCCTTTTCACCTCATGGCACACATAAACAAATTACTAAAATTCTGCGGCACACCAAAAAATATATATTTTGTTGCCAATTTGATAAAAACAAAAAAGATAGAATTTTGATTCATTCACACTGGACGGATATTGTTGTGTTAGTTGTCTTATTTTTATTAACAATCTAAGGGAAAAGAGGTCAGTGCCTCTAACTAAATAGTCAGGTATTACATGTTTTAAAAGTCCTTGTAGCATACCGGCTGAAAATCGCTGACCTAACTTAAATAAAAAAGATTAAGCTTGACAATAAAAGTGTAAGCATGTCTCAGATTTACTAAGCTAGCTAATTCTTTCTTGAAATATTTAGCTTATATTTGGACTTAATCCATAGAAAATTTGAAAGCCAAATATATCTATATATATAAAAGGCTAATATGCAAAGTGTTCCCTTGGGAGTTCAACCAGGAGACCAGAAGTTTGATCACTTGCTATGATGTGTGCTGACCACCTGGGAGCAGTGTGGAATGAAGGAAGGCCCCGGCCGGCAGCCAGAAGGCCCTGATTGGTCCTGATCGCCGGCCAGGCCTAGGAACCCTGCCTGTTCACAAATTTCGTGCACTGGTCCTCTAGATTATATTTTTACTAGAGGCCCGGTGCACAAAAATTTGTGCACTCGGGGGGGTCCCTCAGCCCGGACTATGCCCTCTTGCAGTGTGGGACCCCTCGGAGGATATCCACCTCAGTGGGGACCCTCACCCCATGGAGGTTTGGCCAGCCTGGGTGAGGGGCTGATGGCTATTTTCAGGCTGGCCACACCCCCTTTAGGGTTGGGGGTTCCCACTGGGGTGCCTGGCCAGTCTGGGTGAAGGGCTAAGGGCTGTTTTCAGCCTGGGCAAGCACCCTGGAGACGTAAGCTCCCAGCCTCTCCTTTTTTTCTTTTTTTAAAATTCTGGGATTTATTTACCTTCTATAATTGAAACTTTGTTGCTTTCAGTGGAGCTCAGAGCCGGGCCATGGCAGGCAGGGAAGCTTGGCTTCCTCCATCACTGGAGCAAGCAAGCCTCCTGCTCGCTCCAGCTCTGTGGCTGCCGGCCGCCATCTTGGTTGTGTTAATTTGCATATAGTTGCTCTGATTGGCTGGTGGGCGTGGCTTAAGGTGTAGCAAAAGTACGGTCAATTTGCATGTTTGTCTTTTATTAGTATAGGATATAAAATATAATAAATATTTTTTAAGGACATGTGATGACCTAATTCAAAATCACTGTGAGCAGATTCTCTAGGAGAACGTGGTGGAAGTCCATTCTTTTGTGCGTTTGCTAACTGACATTAGCCCTGACCAAGATAAGGTAGAGCGTAGTGGTCATCATTCGCAGACGGAGGAAACTGCACAAACCAGACCTGGCGAGAAGAGCCTGAGAAGGGAAACCACATTGGTCGGGGTGCCAGTAACTTGCTTTCGTGGCAGGTTTTCTCCTTCCGCTGGTGAAGGAGGGCATGGTCGGACTTTGCGTACGTTTTATAATAATTCCCATCACCGCTGCGGTGATAGGGGATTTCCTCCTTTGGAATAGCACCCCCAGTCTCATCTATCGGCTACCATGGACCCATGGCTTTCTAACAGTTGAGAATGCTCTGCTTTTCAGATAATACCATCCAGTCGATTTTCTGTTGTTGCTGTTGCTGTTCCGTGCAGAAGCGGTAAGTCTTGTTTCCGAGGCCAACTACTTGGAAATGAATGCGTTCAGTTTCGAGTCTCCATGTCTCTTTGTATCTGCTGTTGCCTTATCCTGGGAAACTCTTCTCCCGTTTTTTTCCCTCTTAAATGCCTAGTTATTTAAAGCCATAGGTCAAATGTCAGGCCTTCTGTGATCCTTTCTTAATCCTTTTGGGTTTAATTGCTCCTTCGATTGTCTTTCCAAAGCATGCAGTTTGGTTCTTTATTTAATATTTATTTCATGTGTCCTATTTGTATGTCTGTTTTCCACTGTATAATTTTACTGGCAAGAATTCTGTCTTATTCATTTGACTATCTCCACCAAAACTATACTTTGGTGTCCAGCAAATGATTGTATAAGAATAAAATCCAAAGCACCATGAAAACAGTCACAGCTAACATTTAATGGGAGTGTTCCATATGTCAGATTGTGCTAAGAGGTTTGCATTTATTAGCTCAAGTAACTCTCAAAGCCACCTATGGATTTTTACAATCCCCATTTCACAGATGAGGAAATTGAGGCTTAGAGAGGTTACATTGCCTACCCATGGCCACACTATGAAATGGTAGAGCTGGGATTTGAACTCATGTTCTTAATTACTATATCATGTCTACTTATAACAATAGATGCTATCAAATGAGGTAATGCATGTAAAATGAGTAACGCTGTGCCTGATACAGAGGGTTACATGATCATGTTTATAATTTTATGCCTTTAACATGGACCAGACTTTGTATTGGGCATGTGACATGTTTCCTCAATTTTATTTCATAACAACTCTATGTGCTTTTAGCACCTCTAGTTTCCAGATAAGAAAAATTAAATTCTGAGAGGTATAGTAACTTTCCCAAGGAAATAGTCTTCATAATTAAAAAAGCCTCAGGAAAGAGACCTGGATTTTTGTACTAGTTTTGGGATGATCTAGTGCAGTGGTTCTCAACCTTCCTAATGCCGCGACCCTTTAATACAGTTCCTCATGTTGTGGTGACCCCCAATTTCATTGTTACAAATGGAACATAATTAAAGCATAGTGATTAATCACAAAAACAATATATAATTATATATGTGTTTTCCGATGGTCTTAGGCGACCCCTGTGAAAGGGTCGTTCGACCCCCAGGTTGAGAACCGCTGATCTAGTGTAACATGATTATTTTTTTATTTTTTTTTTTAATGTCAGGCAAGTGAGAACACAAATAAGCCTGAGCAATGATGAAGAACTCTCAGAAAAATACATTCAGCCTCGCAGACAGTGGTTCAGTGAATTGAGAAGTAAGAAGCAAGTGAGTATCATCTTGATGGGTGGTAAGGGTGGGGGTCGAGGAAGCTTGCGTTTTTAGGATCTGCTCCAGTAGGTACTGTTTGCTACCATGCCCAGAACCTAGTATCACGCTTGGCACATAATAAGGGCTCAATAAACATTTAGTAAATGAATTTTCTAGAAGAAATTGAAAGAAGAAAATAAAAAGACCAGTTAACATAGCCTGCTCGGCTATATTTTGGAAGAACTTGAAACTGGACAGTGAATAGGGAAAAAATGTATTCTGGCTACTGCCCTTTTGAGGCCAGGATTAGTTTTCAGTCCAGTGTTGGGAGAAACAGTGTTCTTAGGAAGCATGGTAAAGCCAAGCACAAGCTTACAGCACCTGAAAGAAAAGGGCTGCTTTTCTTTTTCCAAGAGAGAAAAAATCCATAAGACAAAGTGAAACTATTGGGGAAGAAATCAAGGGAAAAAAATATCCAATGTAAAAAAAACCCAAAACAAAATTAATGCAATGCTGGCAACAGAATGTGTGATCTTGAAAATTTCCAAACGATGAGTGTGTTGCTGGACCCGAAAGTTGTTTTATAGTTGGTCATTTCCTACATTTATCCCACCCTGGCTTCTGCTCTGGCACAGCTGGATGGGAGAAGGGAGGCAGCAGGCAAAGATGCTCTATGCCTCTTCTTGATTAATACAGATCATGATCAGTATAGATTGTTAAAACAGTGGCACGGCTACTCACTGCTTGGTTTTCACAGTCCAACAGGAGCCGTGTGCAACCATCAAAACGCAAACCGCTGCCTCCCCTCCCGCCCCCTGAGGTTGCTGAAGAGAAGACCCGAGTCATGGCACTCTATGATTTTCTGCCCAGAGAGCCCTGTGACTTAGCATTAAAGAGAGCAGAGGAGTACCTAATCCTGGAGAAGCATGATACTCACTGGTGGAAGGCAAGAGACCGTTGGGGGTAAGACTGGTGGCTCGGTCCTTATCAAATACCTCCTCTTTTATCCCCTACAGACGTCTGAAGCATCAAGAGGGCTGTTTACTGGCTCAGTTTCTCTGGGTTTATAACTTCCTTCTGTGTGAAATGAAACCTGTCCCCCCAGCTCCCCATGTGTATGAGGGCATTCTAGCACCATGATTTCAGCAGACTCTCAGAAGTAGTTACACCTGGCTTCACATCCCAATGCTGCCGCTTACTATCGTGTCCTTTGGGCAAGTCATTTACCCTGTCTGAGTTTCCATTTCTCTTTTAAAAGATATGTTTTTAAAAATTGATTTTAGAGAGAGAGGAAGGGAGAGGGAGATAGAAACAAGGATTGGTTGCCTCCTACCTCCTGCATGCCCCCCACTGGGGATCGAGCCCGCAACCCAGGCATGTGCCCTGACTGGGAATCAAACCAGAGACCTCTTGGTGCATGGGCCAACACTCAACCACTGAACCACACCAGCCGGACTTCATTTCTTTCTTTTTTTGAAATTTGCTGTAATTGGCATATAACATTCCATTAGTTCCAGGTGTACAACATAATCTATAATAATAAAAGCATAATATGCAAATCAACCGAATGGCCGAACAGCGGAATGACCGTCCAGATGACCTTCCAGATGACCTTCTTGACGAAGCCGGAGCTGCGAGGGCCTCTAGTGATTGAATATTTGTATATATTTTAAAACAATCACCAGAAGAAGTTTAGTTAACATCTGTCACCATAGATAGTTACAGAATATTTTTTCTTGTGATGAGAACTTTTAAGGTTTAGTCTTGTAGTAACTTTCAAATGTGCAAAACAGTACTATTAACTATAGTCACTATGCTGTACATTACATTCCCAGGGCATTTATTTTGTCACTGGAAATTATATCTTTTGACCCTCTTCACCAATTGTTCCCACCCCACGGCACTCCCCCATCTCTGGCAACCACCAAGTTGTTCTCTTTGTCTATGAGCTTTCAATTTTTAATGTAAAATACCTTTTAGATTCCACCTATAAGTGAGGTCATACAGTATTTGTCTTTTTCTCTGACTTATTTCACTTAGCATAATGCCCTAAAGTTCCATCTACATTGTTGCAAATGGTAAGATTTAATTCTTTAGTATGGCCAAATAATATTCCATTCTATCTATCTATCTATCTATCTATCTATCATATCACATTTTCTCTATTCATTCTTGCATTGATGGATACTTAGGTTGGTTTCATGTCCTGGCTATTGAAAATAATGCTGCAATGAAAATTGGGGTCCACATTAGTGTTTGTTTTTTTGTTTTTGTTTTTCAGATAAATGCTCAGAAGTGGAATTGCTGGATCACAAGCTAGTTCCATTTTTAATGAGTTTTTATGTCTTTATTTATAAAGTGGGGATAATAATTCCTATAGGTTCCTATTCTGATTTACACTTTCTCTGGGAATTGGACGTGTTTGTTTGTTTTTTCCTGTTAGGCTCTAAGGCAGGAACAGAAACAGGCTCTTCCTTATTTTCATATTTCTAAAATGACTAGTTTTGGAAGTAGGTGCTGAATTAAGAAGCAAGGGAAAAAAGACCCTGGGATGCCAACAGACTTCACTGTGTCAGTTGCAATAGATGGTTAATGCCTGACTGAAGTCCTGGGTAGAGAAGGATTCTGAGGAGTTTCTGGGCTCTCTGGGAGAGAATGCTGGCATTGATTTCTGATCTTTGTCAAGATTTGAAGATTATAAGTATATAAATATCAGAAGTATTTATATTTCATGCCCTCTTTCTTTTTAAAAAAATATATTTTATTGATTTTTTACAGAGAGGAAGGGAGAGGGATAGAGAGTTAGAAACATCGATGAGAGAGAACCATCGATCAGCCGCCTCCTGCACACCCCCTACTGGGGATGTGCCCGCAACCAAGGTACATACCCTTGACCGGAATCGAACCTGGGACCCTTCAGTCCGCAGGCCGACGCTCTATCCACTGAGCCAAACCGGTTAGGGCTCATGACCTCTTTCTTTATATTTTCCTGATTATTTGGTTGTCTTTCCAAATCTTAGTTTAGACTCAACATGTGATAGAGATATTTCAGTGGGAATAGTTATCAGTGGGTTTAAGACTGTGGAAATAGCGACTCCTGCAGGTGGCCTGTTGGCATGATTCAGACCTAAACAACCAACCAACCAACCAATTAATATTTAACTTTAAAGTTAATAAGTGCATATAGTTCTTTATAATATGAAAACATGATAAATAATGCCAACGTTCTCAAAAATAAGCACCGTTATTCATTTAGTAAATCATTTTCAATGCACTGTCATGCACATATTGAAATATATGGTATTGTTTGCAGATTTAATTTATCTAAACCTTATCACACTTTATACATTGTTCTATTAGTTGCTTTTATTTCCCAATAATATGTCTTGGGGATCTTTTTGTAATTTCAAATGGAATTTGAAGGTGAAGGTGTAGGAAAATGGAATTCCTCACCCTCCGGAAGGGCGGGTAAATTGGTGTATCTTCCTTCTAGACAATTTGCTGTGTCTACTGAAAGACGCACATGCTTGGTGTCCTAGCAATTTCCCTGCTTAGTATCTGTTTTAGAGAAATGCCCCTCCTTGTGAAAAAAAGGCACATTCAAGTATTTCTTCATCAGGTTGCTGTAATAGGGACGTGGCTCAACTAGAATATCTACTCTATCGAATGCTCTGCAGCAAACAGTATCTTTGTAATTGAGCTGCTGTTAACCTGATTACTATGACATCCCTGTGGTCATGTAAATGCCCCCTTTTCTCTCTAAAAAGATTCTGGTGTCATAAGACACCTTTAAACTACTCACATTATAAGTCAGAATCTTACTATTTATTATTTTGAGATTCTAGTTAAATGTGGAAGTGAAAAACCTGTTTTCCTCTTTTAACAACTTCATCAGTAAAATGAATTTGACTTCCCTTCCAGCCTTGACATTTATAAGAATTGTTGCCATTATAATGCTAGAAACTTGGCAAAATTTTCATTTTTGCTTTGTCTTTTGTTATAGGAATGAAGGCTTTATTCCAAGCAACTACGTGGCTGAAAACAAGCTAACCAATTTAGAAATTTATGAGTAAGTGTCTTCTAAAATACGCTCTATGGTTAATCTATGAAAATCAGCTACGTTTTGTCAGGTTATAAGCTCAAATACTGTTTTCGGTCTGAAAAAGGAAAAGAAAGTCACACATTCGGTAGCTCTAGTTCAAGAGGTCTTTGATCCTTATAATGGTTGATTCAGAAACTTCTTTTTCTTAAACTTATTTTTGTTTCGGTTTGTGTAGCCATTCTTTTTTGTTTTGGCAGTGACAGCATGAAACCAAACACTCGTCTTGCACTTGTTTTACTATGTGTCCTAAATAGAAAATTATTTTTAAAAGGACATTACATTTTCAATGAGTGGCAAATTGGACTTAATTTATAGACACGTTACTATATTTTGGCTACTGTTTAGAAATGTTTTAGAAATAGTTGCAGATGAGAACAAGGCCAGTATAGTTTGGAAGAACTCTTGGCATGTTTGCTGGAGTCCTGCTTAGAAATCTATTTTTGTTATATGGATCTGGAAGATAGAGGAGATCTTAGCAATCACTTGTTTAATCCCTCATTCTGCAGATCAGAAACTACGGTGGAGAGATTAATTTATACGTAGAGAGTAGCAGAGCTGGGAGTAGTCCTAATCTTTTATAACTTCAGGATCAATTTGAGCTCTTGAGTGCCCTCCCCCCACTTAGATACTTGTTTTGCAATTAACATATGTTTCCAGCAGGTGGCAGTAGGTAATGAGTGGAGGCATTAAGACCCGTGCTTCTCTGAGAACCAGTGAGCAAATACAAATTGAATGAGAGAACCCCCTTGGTCCGCCTTGCTACTAATTTAAGTCACCTAGAGGCCAGACTCAGCATATCCCTTCCCTAAAACAAATCCAATTTTAAAAGAATTGGTGAATAACGTACACTTTATTGGAGGGGAGAAAGAGGTGACGGATGACCACGGGATACATGACACATCTACGTAACCTTACCAGACTTCTCTATTAGCTATGTCTCAAGCTAGATCTCTCTCCCAAGTCACTCTCCTTGGCCCCATTAGAAGGTCTCTTCTCTCTTCTCCTTTCCTTCACTCCCCTCTCTTGACCTGCGTCATTTAGCTCCCCCCCTGAAATTCCATTCTCCACTCAGTAAAACAAAGCCCTTCGTGGCTGAACCCACCTTCCCTGGAAAACATTTCCACAACTGTCTACAGTTACTCACGGATGGCCCATAGGGGTGTCACCACTATCTCCACTAAAGCTGACCAACACAAACAGGTCTCTCTCTCTCTCTCTGTCTGTTTTTGTGTACCCTCTTGCTTTTTTCTCTTTAATATATATATTTTTCAATTACAGTTGATATACATTGTTATATTAGTTTCTGGTGTACAACCCAGTGATTAGACATTTATATAACTTACAAAGTGATCACCCTGATAAATCTAGTACCCATCTGACACGACACATAGTTATTACAATATTATGGACTATATTCCCTATGCTGTACTTTACATTCCCGTGACTATTCCGTAACTGCCAATTTGTATTTCTTCATCCCTTTACCTTTTTCGCCCATCCTCCCAACCACCCCCCCAATCTGGCAAATATCAAATTGTTCTCTGTATCTATGAATCACAAACAGGTCTCTTTGAAAGCCAGGTCAGGGAAGTTTTGTTTGGAAATCTCCCACTAAGAAAAAAAAAAGGCTTTTTAAAAAATCTATCTATCTATGTCTATCTATCTGTCTATCTATCTATCTATCTATCTATCTATCAACCAGAATCCCAATTTGGCTTTTCCAGGAGGTTAAAGGAGACATGTATGAAGGTACCTAACAGTGTCTGGGGGTTAGTGAATAGAAAATCACTAACCAGCAATCTTCCTTTCCTTTTTTAAAAATTTTCAATGAATTTGCTCATTGCTGCCCCTGTTTAGACCAGTTCAACAACTTGTTTATATTATAGATATTGGATCATTTGAATAAAACTACTCTGAGGTTAGAATAACCATCTCATTTTCTTGGGCCTTGATTTACATGTCTTTAAAAGTTACTTTCTTTAATAACTCCAATTATAGGAAGACTGCTTTTGAGTTTTATTGCTATTTCTTAAAAAAAAGATTTGTTAGGATATAGATATAATAATCACTAAAAATTATCAGCCATTCACTATGTGCCAAGCACTGTTCTAATGACTGTATAGAATTACTGCCCTAGGTCAAAGTCCTGTAGTGTGGACATAGAAATTGGGGGAAATCTGAGTTCAAATCCTCGTATCACCACTGATTAGTGCTTTGGCTGCAGGCATCTGCCTAATGTCTCTAAACATCCGAGTGATCTGAAAACTGGGGAATAATACCTGTCCCATACAGTACAGAGTAAATGTTCAATAATTTCTAGCAATTATCATTATTTCCTTGAACTGTGAAAATCACTAGAAAGGCATTGACAGTTTGAACCACCTTGCCCAGTATTGCAGGCGTACTCCATGTCATTCGTAATACATGTCATTGTTACTTCAGTCCCCTGAATCACTTTATTTGTTCGATCTTTATTTATTGTACACTTATGCATTACCAGGTGTTAGCTTTTTCAGACACTGGAGATGCAACACGGAACACCCAGAAGCAGTCCCAGCTTCATGAGACTTACAGCTTCATGGGGATATAGATATTAAACAACTCCAAATTCATAGATAAATATGTAATTTTAAATAAATATGTAGTGTTGGGAAGAAACAGTGTGGGACACTAGGAGAAAACAATGGGGAAGGAGGTATAATTTAGCAAACAATGGGGAAGGAGGTATAATTTAGATGTTGGTTGGGGAAGACTTTCTGAGGAAGTGACTTGAGGCTAAAGGTGGTAGGGGGTCCTCAGGGGAAGGAATGCTGTGTCAATGTGGGCTCTGACATCTCAGGGGAACATTTATAAGTAGAAATGTTTATGGCTATTTTGGTTTTAGATTAATATCCAATTATCAACAATACAATGTAAAAACCTAGTTTTCAGTAAGCCTTCAAATTTAACTTGTAAATCATGATATACTCTTTGTAAATATGAAAAATATGAACAATTACCTTATTTCAGACTCAACATATTAAATGTCCTTCAACAATCAGTCCTATTTATAAGTTCAGCTAATTAAGTTTCCTGAAACATTTAACTGAATTAATAAACTGAATACATTCAGTTTCCTTTTTTTAGTCCTTCACATGCCAGACAGGACAAATTTGCAACTGCCATAGCCCTTTGTAAGTCCTTCCATGATCCTGGACATCTAATAAATTAAACTTATGTGGTAAATCTAATAAATTAAACACATGTGAATCTCATCGAACCCTAGGTAAATCTAATAAATCAAGTTCTGTTAACCATGCAAATATTTTAAAAATGAGTCAAATTCCCTTAAACTTCAAATATCAAGAAAAGATTAATTATAAATTTTAAACCGGAGGCAAAACTCCAATATGCCAGATTCTTTTAAAATTATAGACGTTAAATATCAAACATTGATTATCCTGAACTTTATATGAGTCTGATTTATCTCATGATCTCTGCACTGACTGCTTAACCTTCTCAGGGTTACAAAGTCACTTACTAAAGAGAAGCAGACTTACCCTCTCAGGTTGAAGAGGGTTTGAAGGTTGAAAACTCAAGAGCACAATACTGTTACTTACTGATCGGAAATCTAAGACAGGGGCGTGGGACCTGAGGCTTACCTCTACACAAGATGTTTGTACTCAACCAGAGTTGGATATGCTGGATTTTTTAAATATGTCAATAGAAGCCCTGTCCCAAGTCCCAGGCCCACATCCTTTGGTATCAGTTTTATAATTAGTGTCGTCTAGGTGTAAGTTACAGCCTTACTGATTTAAAAAAACAAACACAACTCTTCTAACTTTTGCCATCTGACTTAATTCTGCAATACATGCCCCAACCTCCTAAGTTATATTCATCCAATCTCATTATTGGCTGTGGAATCTTGCATTATTTTAAAGAATCCTAAATTCTTCCTATATTTGTATCTGGCTCTTTGGTTACAACTTTGAAGTCATTCTAATGACATACACAGATTTTAATTTACATTTAAACAAAATAACCTATTTACTTATATTATCTCTTTGGTTACAACTTTGAAGTCATTCTAATGACATAACACACAGATTTTTAATTTACATTTAAACAAAATAACCTACTTACTTATATTACTTATCACTATAATAAATAAATAAAATACAAAGCAACAAAATGAACACTGATATGATGGCCAGTGAAAAACATTCAGAAAAAATGCAATTTATCTTAACTTTTTCTTATTTGAAGTTCCATTATGCAGTCTTTACTTTTCACAGATTCAACGTATTTTATTGAGCTATAATTGTTATTCTCCTTTTAGCACCCATGTTTCACAACTTAGCCAGTGGGGGCCCCTTGAAACCGATTCCCCATGTCTCTATTTCTACAACAGGAGGTCTCAGATTTACCTTGAAATTCCCTTCAAACTATGAATATTCATTAAAAAGTACTAAATGATATTCACAGTTGAACATCACAGTTACTCTTATTCCCACTAGTGATAAGTAGTCATATTATTTTATCTAGAATCATCCCTAATCATCCCTACTATCTATGGCTCGTTTTCCTTTTAAGGGCATTAGTATTTTTAATACCTGACCATCCTGATTTAGTGGCAGCTTTCTGCTGCTAGAGGTTAGGGGAAGTCCATGTAATAAGATCGATTCCATCCTCAAAGTCAGGTATGAGTTTCATTTAGCTACCATCTGGCCCACCCATTATGACTCAATGCAGGGCTATATGTGCATTCTTCCTTCCACTGTCCTTAAAAATAGTATTTCTGGTAATATTAAACTAGGTGCTTTTTAAAATCTTGTTTTAAAATGAAAGTTTTTCCATTTTTCTTTTTCTCTTTTTGGTTCTGTTTCCTTTTTCTTTCTTGTACCATGTTTGCTTACCGACTAGGTTTTGTCATACAAAACTTCATGTTTAAGTTATAATATTATTTAATTATGACAACTGTGTGCACTTTGGTATTCTAAAGCAGCGATTTTCAACCAGTGTGCTGCAAGAATTTTTAAAACATGCAATAACTGACTATTTAGTCAGGGGGCATTGACCTTTTTTCCTTTAGATTGTCAAAAAAAAAAAAAAAAAAAAAAAGGGCAACAACCAACACAATAATAGTCATCCAGTGTGAATGAATCAAAATTTTACATATATTTTTTTTCTGTCAGATTGGCAAAATACACAATATATATTTTGGTGTGCTACAGAATTTTTGTGATTAGTTTATGTGTGCCATGAAATGAAAAAGGCTGAAAATCGCTGTTCTAAAGTCTTATAGTGACATGTTTCATGAAGAGAGGTAGTAGAAAGATAGGGGGCAGAAGAGGACTTGGAGAATTTGAGGAAGGGAGGAATCCCAAGTGGCGAAGCTCAGTGAGTGAACAGCGAATGAGGAAAGATGGGCCCGGAGAGGGGGTGTGGAGCAGGGTTATATAGATTGTTCCACTCACTAAACTGCTCACTTTACTGCAAAGTAACATACTTGGGAAAGGCACCTAAGTTAGAGTGGGTTTTAATTTTGGAAAGGTAACATAGCACATACAAAAACACTCAAATAAGAACTTCCTGAGAAGAAAGAAACAAGTATTTTTTTGGTTTGTCTACCAGAACTCAATGAAGTGTTTATTGAAGATGATGACTTCTTTTTTATTTTTTTATTTTTTAAATTCTCACCTGAGGATATATTTTTATTGATTTTAGAGAGAGAGGAAGGGAAAGGGAGAGAGAAAGAGAGACATTGATCAGTTGCCCCCTGTACCCTGACCGGGGATCAAACCCACAACCTGGGTATGTGACCTGAATGGGAATCAAACCCACGACCTTTCGGTGTATGGAACAACACTCCAACAACCCAGCCACACTGGCCAGGGTGAAGATGATGACTTCTTAACCACATATCTTTCATGGAAATTTTTAGGAGGTTAAATTTTTCAAAATTACATACTAAGTGTGTGCCAGGAAGTTGAAGTGAGATAATAGAATAAACTTGCAACTAATAAAACTCCACTAAACTAAATCAACTGGCCCATAATAGTACATTATTGTTTATGTGAACTTAAAAACCCACTCTATATTCTAAAAATCAGTTTTGGAGTAAGTTTTTAAGACAGAAATGGAGCAGGGTGTTTTCTTTTTTTCTGAAAAAAAAAAAAAAGAAATATACAATTTAAAAATTATTTTTATTGCTTTTACAGGTGGTACCATAGAAACATTACCAGAAATCAGGCAGAACGTCTTTTGAGACAAGAGGTAATTCAATTTATTCCTGAATAAATCTGAATATTTTCAAAATTTCCATGAGGGCTGCATTGTAAAGAAAGACCTTACCCATCTAAAAAGTTTTATTGCTTCCTGTTCTTTTTAGTTTTAAAGTATTATAATTTCATCTCTATACACATTTTTTCTCTACACATTTTTTGATGTTGTACACTAGTTGTCCTTGTATCAGATTATGTTTTTATTGATTTTCATCATAACTTTAGAAACATTTTTCCTGAAATGATTTCAACACCAACATTTTACAACTCCCTCATCTACTCCAAAGTGCATTCTACCGAACAATCCATATTTGAATGGCCCAAACACCTTTGCCTCAGTGCCAATCAAATATACACCCTATCCTCATTAGCTTAGCTTAGGCTCATTAAAAACACAATAAAAAAATACACGGTGCTGCACCTTCTTTGATCTTTGGGAACAAAGGCAAGAGTAAGGTAGCTAAAATATCAAGCTGGGTCAAAACTGATCATTTAGGTTAAAACAAAACAAAACTGCATAGAGCAGTGATGGCGAACCTTTTGAGCTCGACATGTCAGCATTTTGAAAAACCCTAACTTAACTCTGGTGCCATGTTACATATAGAAATTTTTTGATATTTGCAACCATAGTAAAACAAAGATTTATATTTTTGATATTTATTTGATATATTTAAATGTCATTTAACAAAGAAAAATCAACCAAAAAAATGAGTTCGCGTGTCACCTCTGACACGCGTGTCATAGGCTCACCATCACTGGCATAGAGTTTAAATTTCCAACTGACGGTAAACATTAACTGTGGGTACATGTGGAGTCAAAACTAGAAAGTATGTACAAGGTATTTGTGTCATTACACACTGCTGTCGGATGTTGAGGAAATCTAGAAATATAAGTGAGAAAGAATCAGTTCTGTAACTAAAAACCCAATGCAGGAATGGCTCAGGACACAGGGAGGGTCCAGGTAACAGCTGGGGGACAGGCAGAGAGAGCATGAGGGACACAGACCGAGCTCACCTCATGGGAGTGGGCATGGAGGTTGGAGGCCAGGCCTGGCTTCACTGGCTAGGAGGAAATGGAGAGTGCCACAAAGGTGGTGTCCTCCTGGCTTTCAAAGTGATCTTAGTAGGTCCAGAATGAACAAAGAAGATGGATGAGAGGCGAGTAGAACCGGAGGAGGGAAGTCCAGAAGTAGATCCACAGTGAGACAGGTGATCACAGGTAACATGGCTGTGCAGGTTCAGCATGTGTGGTTCTGCATCTGAGAGGAAACCTGACAGGGCGAGGGTCTGACCTCCCCACAGAGACTAGGACAGGGAATTATGTGACAACCCCCACACGGCCTAGATATCACCGCATGCAGTCACATTTGGCCATGACATTTCCTGATGAAATAAGACATTTGAGCCCATCCTCTCATCTTTCTTGTCCTCCCCCACTCCCCAGAGGCAATCACGGTAGAAGAACACTTCCCATTTTGTCCCTATGTTTACATTTTTATCATAGATTGTGCAATAAGCAAACTGTAGTGTTATTTTATGTGTTTTAACATAAAGGAGGCCATATGTGTTGATTTTTTAAATTAAGCATTATATTTTCAATTTTATTCAAAAGGGTATAGATAGATCAAACACATTCTTTCAACTACTGTCTACTATTTCATTATATGAGTACTAGAGACCTGGTGCATGAAATTTGTGCACGGGTAGGGTCCTTAGGCTTGGCTAGTGATCAGGACCAATCTGTGGGGCGATCGGTGGTGCGATCGGTGGTGGTGGTGGGGGGAGGGCTGGCACACACCTTGGCTGGCCTGGGGCCTGTGGGCTGGGGGCAGCTCCTGCATTGAGCATCTGCCCCCTGGTGGTCAGTGCACATCATAGCAACTGGTCATTCTGCCAGTCGTTCCACCGTTCGGTCAATTTGCATATTAGGCTTTTATTATATAGGCTACCCAAACATATCCATTTCACTAGAGATAAACATTCAAATTGTTTCTAATTTCCTACTATTACAAACAGTGCTGCAGAGAACTCCTGTGTATGTTTCATTTGATATGCAAAGGAAGGGGTTTCTTTCAATTTTACCCAGAAATGGAATGGTCTGGTCAGGGGTATGTGCACATTTAACATTGCTAGATATTATCAAATCATGATTCAAAGTACTTGTACTAGTTGAAACTCTTCCAGGGAATGAGAAAACTAGTTTCCTACATTCTTGCCAACATTTGGTATCTGCCTGGCATTGAGTAAGAAATTTCATATATATTTTGAAATGTGCATTTCTTTGATAAACATCTCGATTGAGTAACTTTTCATGTGTCTGTGGGCCAGTGGGCTTTCTCTGCTGTTACATGCCTGTTAATAGTCTTTGCTCATTTTTCTGTATATTTGTCTTTTAAACTGACTAATGTGTGTTTTAAAAATATATTCTGAATACCAATCTTTTGTCAGTTATGTGTTACAACTATATTCTTCTGGTTTCTGGCTTAAAAAAAAACTTTATGCTGTTTTCTTATATAGAATTTCTAAAAATGTTAATACCAAATTTCTCAATATTTTTCTTATGATCTCTGCTTTTTTGTTTATTTGTTTATTATAAGAAATTCCTCTCTCTCCTGAAGTAATAAAGGAATTGTATGTTTTCTTTTAAATGTTTTTAAAGATTTCACATTTAGGTCTTTCATTTGGAGAGAGAGCTAGATTTTACCATAAAAGGTTCTTTGGTTTGACAATTTGAGCAGGAAATGGGGCTTGTCTCTTGGTAAGCATCTGGAAGGAGAAGGAGACTGCCTTCTGGACTGTGTCACCTTGATGGCCAGGCCATACTGTGGCTGTGCAGCTCTCAAGCGACTTATTGGCAGCACTTCACGGGTGTAAACTTTCATGGCTTTGACAAGATTCTGAGATATTTTTCTCTCCACAAGTGTAAACACCCTCAATAAAGCAGAAGCATTTTAAAATAACAAACACACACACACACACACACAAAAAAAATCAAATAAAACTGCCCAACATTCAAGATTATTTAAAAGCAATTCGCAGCTTTATTGAGATTTTCCAAAAATGTCAGTGGAGATGCAATTCATAATCTAACATCAAACTTATTATAATGTTCTTTCCTCTTGCCGTATCCCTTTTTGTGTCTCCCATACCCAGAGCAACTGGAATGGCTCTCCTCGCTCCTCTCTCCCGACTCCCCCCAATTTATTCCCTTTTCTTCCTTATTACAAACTCTGGTCTCCGTTCCCACTCTGATCCCAACAATTTCAGATGCATTTCTCCCTCCCTTCTTTGCCCCCACCTGTCATTTTCTTTCTTTTCTTCCAAAGTACAACTCTGTCTGTCTGTTCATCCTACTCATCAGCTGTTTCCATCTATCATCCTGATCAATGTACCAAAAATAACTAAATGGTGGTATACACGGTTGTCAAATGCAGGATTTTGCTTAGGAAAACTGGGGGCAAAGTTTGAAGATGCTCATATATACAAAAAAATCTTTGTCCTAAATGTGTTTTATTTTGTAGGTATTATTTCTAAACCTGTACTTGTAAACACAGTCTCAGGCTTTTATCCTAAGTCAGTATGGCTTTGGTTTTCATTACTGAGATGTGGGTTTGTCTTCCTTTCTGACAAATGTAAACTTGTGCAATGAATGAATTGTTTTGCAGTCCAAAGAAGGTGCATTTATTGTCCGAGATTCAAGACATTTGGGATCCTACACAATTTCTGTGTTTACGAGAGATAGGAGGTAAGCCATTGTGACTTTGGTCACTGTAGAAATAACAACTCCTGGGACTGCCCTTTTCAGGGAGGCACTGTCACTTACAGGATGTAAGCGAGAGCCCTGAATAGGGAGATTACTAGACTGGAAATTAGGACAGACCAGTTCAGTTTGTATCCCTAACAAGATCTGTGTATGGCACGAGGTGTTACTTAAGTTCTCTCTTCTCCTTTTCTCAACCATCAAGTGAGGAGGCTTGATGAGTTGTTGCCCAACTGGTGGTGCTTTCCTCATATCCCTCGTCTATCCTGGGTCTACCTGTGGAGTTCACCTGCACTCAGAAAGCTTCCTGTGTCTCGGCCAAGGATGTTCTCTGGGTGAGGGAATGCATGGTCCCCGTGGCTAGGCCGGACGTGCCTGAGGATTAACATCCTAGGAGCCACCCTCCCCCAATGGGGAACGGGAGCTGGTGGATAAGCACCTCGGCTTCTTTGTACTTTAGTGGGACAATTCCAAGGTGTGTTCCACAGCCTCTCAGCTTCCAATAAGGATTAAACTCCAGTTGCCCGTGGCAGAGCTGCTCATCAATATGCCCGGTATTGGTTTTCCTCCCTTCTTTGTCTCACATCGCCTCACACCCCTACAGTGCATTTCTTCATTCCTATAACATACTTGATAGTCAATAAATACTCATGTGCCCATTATGAGATCTTGTTGTCACCTAGACTTTGGCTGAGGTTATGTTTGATTCTAAGGCTCCAATAAGACAGCTGAGGAATTCTCCTGGGATGGGAGGGACCTGTTTAATTTAACCCAATCCGCGCTTCGGTGTGTAGTGTTGCCAGGCTAAGGGTTTGAGAGGTGGAGCCCTGTTGCTTAATGAATTGACTTAGTTCCAAAGTGACCTTTTATTTGTTTACTAATTTACATTTTATTGATTGTAGAAGCATGGAGCCTACCATCAAACATTACCAGATTAAAAAGAATGACTCTGGAGAGTGGTACGTGGCTGAAAGGCACCTCTTTCAGTCAATCCCTGACTTGATTTGGTATCACCAGCACAACGCCGCTGGTAAGTCAGGAACTTCAGGCTGGGAGAGTCAGCCAGGCTCTCGATGGGCAATGCATCTTTGGTCTTAGACACTTTACACATATCCCTGCAAAAATGTGTAAGAGCTCGAAATACAACGTGCTTCTGAACAATTCCCTTCAGTGACGCTTCTTTGGTTGTCTAGTCAGGGAGCAGAGATAGGTCATTTTTTTACATTTCTGCCAAGTTAGAAAAGCAATAGATGACAGAGAAGCAAAGGCTATTGAGTCATTCATTATACATTTGTTCTTAAAATTTATGCAGGGCTAAATGTAATAGGATTTCCAATGTCCCAATGGCCTCCTTTTCCTTGTCCCATAAATTTGCTCTCTATTTTAGAAGATTACAATAGAAAATTTGCTCTCATTCTCTGTTCTTTCTTGTTTGGAGAACAGAAGATGTTACACAGGATGCAGCCTTTCACTTATTACAATTTGGCTTAAATATACTGGAGGCCTATTTAGCCCCCACCCCCAGCTATTGTTTGCAATAATTGCTATTCGTACAAGCCTATCATCTATGGAAAGATGTAGGATTCCAGAAAGTTCCACCACAATTGCAATCACATCTCTGGCCTTCAGCCCTCATCAACCTCTGCTAGACCACTTGGAGCCCATGGGGGAATCCTCTTACCTCAGTTTTATAGAATTTGGAACCCACTGTAACTTTTCATATTTTTTTGACTTCTTGCCATACAATACTATTTTAGATTTTTCTCATGAAAAGTTGTATTGACAAAATAAAATCTCTTTTGGAAAGCGGCCACTTTTCCATTGTACTGGTTCTAAATATCAGGAATAAATCCAAGGACATTTTTATCCACTTATGGGAATGGGATGAGTTCTCATGGATATTCCAGGTGGTCAAGGGAGTTTGATTAGAGAGGAAGTGATGTTTCTGAGCGGGGCCAGGGAGGGTAGCCCTTTGAATCAGGAGACCAGTTTTGAGTTTTCTCCTTCACACACCTCTTTCTCCTTCCTTCAAAGACAAACTTTAAGAAACTGAGTGGTTTTGGTGGTGAGGTTAAAAACAAAACAAAACTGAGGTAGATCAGGATGTACCGACATGAAAAGATGTTAGTGATAAGTTATTTAGTAAAAAAAAAAAAAAAAAAAAAAAAAAAAGTACAAAGCAATATATTTAGTGTGTAGTCCTATTTTTGAAAAAATACACATTTGCACATATATGTGTGCATAGAGAAACTTGACATTTAGGTAATAATTTTTAAACTGATAAGGTTATAACAAACTATAAACTGTTAAGGTTTACCTCTGAAGAAGGAGATTTGGATATGGGAAGCTTTTCTTTCCTGCTTTATAAATTGCTTTAAGGTTTAATTTTTTTATTACCATGTACATAAATTATTCTTACAATATATAAAATACCATACAGATAACTTTTAAAATAAAAAGCCTGGGTTAAACCATAAAAACAATGAAAAGTGGGACTTGACAACTTAAAACAATGGCTGCTATTTATTTATTTTTATTATTATTTTTTTAAACATATTTTTATTGATTTCAGAGAGGAAGGGGAAGGGGGGGAGAAAGAGAGAGAAACATCAATGATGAGAGAGAATCATTGATTGGCTGCCTCCTGCACACCCCACACTGGGGATCAAGCCTGCAACCCAGGCATGTGCCCTTGGCCGGAATCCAACCTGGGACCCTTCAGTCTGTAGGCTGATGCTCTATCCACTGAGCCACGCCGGCCGGGCTGGCTGCTATTTATTAAAGAGAAAAGAAGTAGAAAAGAAATACAGCAACAAGAAAGAAGGGTGATAAGAAGAAAGGCAGGGGACCCAGAAGGCACTCATTTATTGCAGACTTACTTGGGGCCAGACCCTGTTCTGAATGCTTTTATGTATATTTATTTATTGAACCTTCAGAACAATCCTATGAGGTAGGTGCTGTTGCTATCTCCATCTTACAGGTGAGGAAACTGAGGCATGAGTTGTGAGGTAACTTGCTCAAGGTCACACAGTCACTTAGTGTGTGAACTGAGATTTGAACTCCAATAAATCTTTGAAACTGTTGGAGCCACTGAACCTATGAAATCCGGAGTCTGCACACAACTCCTGCCATCACCTCCAGAAAGAGGCAAATCATGTCAGTGGGGAATATTGTGGAGGGTCCACTTTTGGAAGAGGTTGTGCATCAAAACCCATGACTATCTTGTCTGTTTCTTAACCTCTGGTGAATTGAGCTCATGACCATCCATCTCCTTAGCAGAAGTAACGGCAATGCAGACAGTGACAGACTTCTTCCTATCAGAGAGATAGACTATCATGAAACCACTGGTAGTAATTCACAGCATAAAAATATTTGACAAAACCTTTTAAGTTAGAGGAAAGTGTTGGGGTCTTAAGGAAATTCCTTTTTATGTTTATCTGGACCACGTGTTATAGAGACCCAGCTTGATGAAGGCTCGAACCTCAATTAGGTCTTCAGAGTCACTGGGGATTCTTATATGTGTCCTGACTGGGGGTCAAACCCCAAAACCTGGTGTATTGGGGATGATGCTCTAACCAACTGAGCTACCTGGCTAGGACTCCAATGCTATTTAAAAAAAAAACAACTACTCTCAAAAAGTAAAATAGGGAAATGGTTACACTTAAGCACTGTTTAGTTGAATAAATTGGTACAACTTTGGTAGATACCCTTTGATCAGGAACCCACATTTTAAGGAATTTATCCTAAGGCGATAAGTTGAGAGGTGCATACAAGATCATACAGCATATTTTACAATAGGGGAATCTTGGAAATAACTTTAAGGTCTATTTATAGTCATTGGTATACATCAGTTACCTGTTGATTGTATAAGCTTATAGCAAGACATTTAAATTTCTGTAAAATGTATTGGATGTGTATAGTCTTTCAAATACGCCTATAGAGATTTTTACAAAGATGTTCATCAGTAGTACTTCTCCAGATGTTAATATTTTGTGAGGGATCTTTATTTCATCTTTATATGTTCTTGAATTCTTTCATTTGTGTTCAATGAGGATATATTATGTAATGAAAAATGTTTTTCAAATGGGAAAAATAAGCAAACAGACTAAGTAGGATAGTGCCTTATTTATGTAAAGAATGGTACTATCATTTCGTTATTTATATTAGTAACTAGGCTTGAAATGCTGATTTCTCTTTCTCCCTAGGTCTCATGTCCCGCCTCCGCTACCCAGTTGGGCTGATGGGCAGCTGTTTGCCAGCCACCGCTGGTTTTAGCTATGGTAAAGTAGACACATGTGCTCCAGTAAAGCATCAGACCCAGTAAAGAATTTACAAATTGTAATATTTTACAAAAATTTCCATTTCTCACCTGGCCAGTGTTGCTCAGTGGTTAAGCATCGACCCATGAACCAAGAGGCCACCGATTTGATTCCCGGTCAGGGCACATGCCCAGGTTTTGGGCTCAATCCCTAGTGGGGGCTTGCAGGAGGCAGCCAATCAATGTTTCTTTCTCATCAGTGTTTATATCTCTCTATCCCTCTCCCTTCCTCTCTCTCTCTCAAATCAATAAAACATTAAAATTTTTATATTTCTCTTAAAAAATTGGAATTTCTGGCAACATATATTCCTGCATGGCTATAATCTGCTGGGCTGGGGAGCAGGTTCCCCAACCCCCCCCCCTTTAAAAAATATTTTTATTGATTTCAGAGAGGAAGGGGAAGGGGGGGAGAAAGAGAGAGAAACATCAATGATGAGAGAGAATCATTGATTGGCTGCCTCCTGCACACCCCACACTGGGGATCAAGCCTGCAACCCAGGCATGTGCCCTTGGCCGGAATCCAACCTGGGACCCTTCAGTCTGTAGGCTGATGCTCTATCCACTGAGCCACGCCGGCCGGGCTGGCTGCTATTTATTAAAGAGAAAAGAAGTAGAAAAGAAATACAGCAACAAGAAAGAAGGGTGATAAGAAGAAAGGCAGGGGACCCAGAAGGCACTCATTTATTGCAGACTTACTTGGGGCCAGACCCTGTTCTGAATGCTTTTATGTATATTTATTTATTGAACCTTCAGAACAATCCTATGAGGTAGGTGCTGTTGCTATCTCCATCTTACAGGTGAGGAAACTGAGGCATGAGTTGTGAGGTAACTTGCTCAAGGTCACACAGTCACTTAGTGTGTGAACTGAGATTTGAACTCCAATAAATCTTTGAAACTGTTGGAGCCACTGAACCTATGAAATCCGGAGTCTGCACACAACTCCTGCCATCACCTCCAGAAAGAGGCAAATCATGTCAGTGGGGAATATTGTGGAGGGTCCACTTTTGGAAGAGGTTGTGCATCAAAACCCATGACTATCTTGTCTGTTTCTTAACCTCTGGTGAATTGAGCTCATGACCATCCATCTCCTTAGCAGAAGTAACGGCAATGCAGACAGTGACAGACTTCTTCCTATCAGAGAGATAGACTATCATGAAACCACTGGTAGTAATTCACAGCATAAAAATATTTGACAAAACCTTTTAAGTTAGAGGAAAGTGTTGGGGTCTTAAGGAAATTCCTTTTTATGTTTATCTGGACCACGTGTTATAGAGACCCAGCTTGATGAAGGCTCGAACCTCAATTAGGTCTTCAGAGTCACTGGGGATTCTTATATGTGTCCTGACTGGGGGTCAAACCCCAAAACCTGGTGTATTGGGGATGATGCTCTAACCAACTGAGCTACCTGGCTAGGACTCCAATGCTATTTAAAAAAAAAACAACTACTCTCAAAAAGTAAAATAGGGAAATGGTTACACTTAAGCACTGTTTAGTTGAATAAATTGGTACAACTTTGGTAGATACCCTTTGATCAGGAACCCACATTTTAAGGAATTTATCCTAAGGCGATAAGTTGAGAGGTGCATACAAGATCATACAGCATATTTTACAATAGGGGAATCTTGGAAATAACTTTAAGGTCTATTTATAGTCATTGGTATACATCAGTTACCTGTTGATTGTATAAGCTTATAGCAAGACATTTAAATTTCTGTAAAATGTATTGGATGTGTATAGTCTTTCAAATACGCCTATAGAGATTTTTACAAAGATGTTCATCAGTAGTACTTCTCCAGATGTTAATATTTTGTGAGGGATCTTTATTTCATCTTTATATGTTCTTGAATTCTTTCATTTGTGTTCAATGAGGATATATTATGTAATGAAAAATGTTTTTCAAATGGGAAAAATAAGCAAACAGACTAAGTAGGATAGTGCCTTATTTATGTAAAGAATGGTACTATCATTTCGTTATTTATATTAGTAACTAGGCTTGAAATGCTGATTTCTCTTTCTCCCTAGGTCTCATGTCCCGCCTCCGCTACCCAGTTGGGCTGATGGGCAGCTGTTTGCCAGCCACCGCTGGTTTTAGCTATGGTAAAGTAGACACATGTGCTCCAGTAAAGCATCAGACCCAGTAAAGAATTTACCCCAAGTTCCCTCCATGTTCTTTAAGTTTTCTGCTCTCTGAGATGTCTGTTGAGTTACATTCCTTCTCAAAGTTTAAAACCCCTTCTGAGATATTTAATTATATGCATCTCCTAAGGACAATTTAAACTTTGGGGGGAAATGTTTCACTTTTACCCCAAATTTTACTGTTAAGAGCCCTTTTGATAAATTATAGTTCTTTTCATTTGAGTATTTGGGCTGTTGCTCTCTGGTTATATGGGTTTCTGGGAAATGATGCTCTCCAAGAGAACCTGTTAAAATGAACTGCTAAAAGTGTCCGCATCCCTTTTTTTAAACAGCACAAAATCTGGACAAAATTTGATTTTAACTATTTTCTAGCAAATGGGTTATTTGCAAATCTGTGAGAATACATAGAGATAAAAAATCCCATATTCTAATTTGGTGATGCTTTATTCCTTTAAATTTCTCTTATTAGTGGGACTCAGAATATATTGGGAAAAATGATAACACAATTATATTGCAACCTTACTTGGGGCCAGACCCTGTTCTGAATGCTTTTTTAAAAAAATATATATTTTATTGATTTTTCAATGATTTTTTTACAGAGAGGAAGGGAGAGGGATAGAGAGTTAGAAACATCGATGAGAGAGAAACATCAACCAGCTGCCTCCTGCACACCTTCTACTGGGGATGTACCCACAACCAAGGTACTTGCCCTTGACCGGAATCGAACCTGGGACCTTTCAGTCCGCAGGCCGACGCTCTATCCACTGAGCCATACCGGTTAGGGCATGTTCTGAATGCTTTTATGTATATTTATTTATTGAACCTTCAGAACAATCCTATGAGGTAGGTAACCAAGACTCAATGTCTCTATGTTAATTGAGATGTAAGAGTGATTTCAGGGTGTTATGGGTACCTGGATTCTTTCCTTGCCCATAAATACTATCTATGTATATAAAAGCCTAAGTGATCGTTATGACTGGTCAACTGAACGACTGGTCAACTGGTTGCTATGATGATGCACTGACCACCAGGGGTCAGACTCTCAATGCAGGAGATGCCACCTGGTGGTCAGTGCACTCCCACAGCCAACCTCCTTCGGCTGGCCAACCTCCCATGGTCCCTGCCCCTGGCCAGCTGGTCCCGATCAGCCCTGATTGGCCGCAATTGCCAGCCAGGCCGAGGCACTTGCACACCTGTGCATGGATTCGTGCACCGGGCCTCTAGTATATAATAAAAGTTCCACCATTAGCAATTTAAGTTACAATGGCCCTGTTTAATTTTTTTAAACTAAACTCAATTTTTAACATCCAGAACAGTGCACAATTTATTAGTCTATTGCTCAGTTAGTTTTGCCTACTTTACTCTAAATGGAATTGGACACCATGTGTTCTTTTGTGCCTGGCATCTTTCTCTCAGTCCATACATCAGCTCACTCATGGTGTTGGGTGTGGTTGGTCCATTTTCATTGTGTTGTGTGGTGCTGCATGCATGACTATACCACAATGAATTTTTTTTTAGATGGCCATTTGGGTTATAACCAATTTTTTTGTCTCATATATTATGAATATTCTTGTATGTCTTTTGATGAAGTTCAGTACACATTTATACTCCAATATTGTATAAATACTTAAGGGTAGAATTTCTGGGTCATAGGATATGCACTTAGATTTCATCAGTTTTCCAAAGAGCTTAACAAAATTACATTTCAATGAACAGTATACGGAGTTCCAGCTGCTCCATACCTTCCCCCTTGCCAATATTTGGCATTCTTGTGGTTTTTGTTTTTGTTTTGTTTTTATTTTCACTTTAGCCAGTCTGGTAAGTGTGTAGTGGTATCTCATTATGGTTTAAATGTGCAATTCTCTGATGACTAATTATTTTGATCAAGTTCTCATAGGTTTGGTGGTCATTTGGGTATACTCTTTGGTGAGAAAATAAGTTTAACCCTCCCTGGTTTGGCTCAGTGAGTAGAGGTCGGCCTATGGACTGAAGGGTCACAGGGTTGATCCTCAGTAGGGGGCGTGCAGGAGTCAGCCTATCAATTATTCTCTCTCATCATTGATGTTTTTATCTCTCTCTCTCCCTCTCCCTTTCACTCTGAAATCAATAAAAATATATTTTAAAAAAAGATTGCAATTAAGTAAAAATGATTACAAAAAGAAAAAAAAAGAAAGTTCAGGTTTTTTAACCCGTAAAAATAGGATTATCTACTTTTTCTAATTTATTTATATTCTGAATAGGCATTCTTTGTTGGTTACATGTTTTAGAAATATTTTCTCCCAGTCTGTGGCTTACCTTTTGATTCTCTTAATAAGATGTATTTGATGAATAGCATTTTTACAAGTGTAATTGTCAATATTTTCCTTTATGGTTACATTCTGCTGAATAAACCTATGTCAATCCCAAGGTCATGAATATGTCCTCCCATGTTACTTTTCAGACACACTTGCTATTGGGAGGGGGAGCACTTTGCAAAGCTGTAAGAGCCATTAACTCTAATTCTTTTAAATGCATTATTTTAAAGTTCCAGCAGATGGTGGTATTGCTATATAAAAAGAGATTCAAAAGATTTGATACTTCTCAGTTTTCAAAGGTTTTTAAAAAACATTTTCCCCCCGACTTGCTTCTATAGCAGTGAAACCTGTGACACGCGTGTCAGAGGTGACACGTGAACTCATTTTTTTTGGTTGATTTTTCTTTGTTAAATGGCATTTAAATATATAAAATAAATATCAAAAATATAGTATTTGTTTTACTATGGTTGCAAATATCAAAAAATTTCTATACGTGACACGGCACCAGAGTTAAGTTAGGGTTTTTCAAAATGCTGACACACCGAGCTCAAAAGGTTCGCCATCACTGTTCTATAGGATGAGAAATATGTAGTCACGTAAATGTCACTTCAAACATACACACACACATATGTTAGAATCTCAACATTGGACATATTTATCAGATGGATTGATTAGACTTTTCCAAGGCAGAAAAGCCCTCTAGGAATGAGAATGGGCAGTAGAAGGAACTGAAATGGGGGTGGGAAGCCCAAACTTTGTCTCACAAGTTTACTCACTAGGACAAAAGCAGACTTTGGACATGAATATTTCAGGTCCCACATCTTGTTTTGGTAGGTTTAGCTTGGAAAGGCACAGAACTGTGTTTTATCCTGGCTCTCTCTGAAAAGAGAAAGCATATTTTAATATCTATAATTCTTCTCCAAGTAAGTCAAGTTTATACTTTTGTTAATCCTCACCTGAGGATATTTTCCCAATGATTTTTTGAAACAGTGGAAGGGAGGGGGTGAGACAGAGAGAGACTGAAACATCAATGTGAAAGAGACACATCAATTGGTTGCCTTCCTTATGCGCCACAACTGGGACTGGGAATTGAGCCTGCAACCAAGGTACATGCCCTTGTGCCCTTGACTGGAATTGAACCCAGGACCCTTCAGTTCACAGGCTGATGCTCTATCCATTGAGCCAAACCAGCTAAGGCTCAAGCTTGTATGTTTTTCTCCTTTTTTTTAAATCCTCACCCAAGGATATTTTTTTCCATTTATTTATTTATTTTTCTTTTTAATTTTTTTTAGAGAGAGTGGAAGAGAGAGGGAAAGACAGAGAAACATCAATGTGAAAGAAACACATTGATTGGTTGCCTCTTGCATGAGCTCTGACCAGGGCCTGGCTGGGGAGAAGTCTGCAACCGAGGTATGTGCCCATGACTGGAATCAAACAGGCTGACGCTCTATCCACTGAGCAAACTGGCGAGGGCTCAAGCTTGTATTTTTAAACTTGAATTCTGGAATTACACATTTAAGCCACAATGAGAGTATTAAAAATGATTGTAGGCCCTCTTCAATCATGTATAAACTTTTTAACCTCTCTATAAAATAAGAGACTAGATCTAGGTGATCCCTAAATCTTTTCTAGCTCTAAAATTTTAGCAAGCTTTTCCCTACTTATAACATGAATTTTTATTTTATTTTTTTGCTTTTCAGAAAAGTGGGAGATAGATCCATCTGAGTTGGCTTTTGTAAAGGAGATCGGAAGTGGTCAGTTCGGTGTGGTCCATTTAGGTGAATGGCGAGCACATCTCCAGGTAGCTATCAAGGCCATCAACGAAGGCTCCATGTCTGAGGAGGATTTCATTGAAGAGGCTAAAGTAATGACGTAAGCATAAAGAACCCAGACAAATATCTTACAACACCCTGGTATCATGGAAAGAACATGGATTTTGGAGTCAGTCACACCTGCATTTGTCACAACTCTGCCCAAGCTAGTTGTGTGACTTGGGCAAATTGCTTAACCTTTATGTGGCCTGGATGAGTCAGTTCACCTTTCCAAGCCTGTCAATTTCCTCTCCTGTAAAATGGGGATGGTAATGCCTACCTCAATGGACCAATGTGTGGATTAATTGATATAATCTAGGAAAGTGGCAAAAATGTGTGTTCGCTTCAATAATAGGCCTTAATAAGTGCACTTTTTGTTCATTTTCTCAGAAGCAAAAATGTTGACTTTGTCTTTATAGTAATACTAGAGGCCCGGTGCACAAAATTTGTGCATAGTAGGGTCCCTAGGCCTGGCCAGTGATCAGGGCCGAAGTGGGGCAACCAGCAGGGAAATGGGGGGGCCTCCACTGGCACCACCCTTGGCCGCCCTGGCACTACCCACTCACTGGCCCCATGCCCCGCTGGTCACCTTACTTTGTGGGGCGACCGGCGGGCTAATTGGAGGATCCCGCCTTGGCTGGCCTGGGGCCTGAAGGCTGGGGGCAGCTCCTGCATTGAGCCTCTGCCCCCTGGTGGTCAGTGCACGTCATAGCGACCAGTCGTTCCACCATTCAGTCAATGTGCGTATTAGGCTTTTATTATATAGGATAAGGATAAAGTATTTGCTTTCAGAAGATATAAGAATTCTGAACTTTAGGGGGGACGGGAGCAGGCTGGCAGAGGTTAATGTAATACTTTCAAAAATAAAGATTAAAAAATAAAAATAAATTTTACCTTGAGAAAAAAAATTAATGAAACTGAATGAAAGAAAAGTAAAGAATTCTGAGCTTTAACAGAAGTGGCTCTTTGTAGACCCTCACAGATCAGCATTTTGACTCAGCTGAACCCGTGGCTGTGTTTTACGTCTATAAACTGGCCTGGGCCAGGACAGACTGATAATGTGACACAAATCAAATCAACTTTAAGTATTGGTTCAACATTTACTTAAAAGGGACAACAATGTGGTGAAGAAAACCCAGATTACTTAGATTCTGTTTTATTATCCAAAGCAATTTAATTCTTCTCCCAACTTGCAGACTGAAATAGAAAAAACCAACCAACCAACTAATCAAAAAACCACAAAACCAGAGGTGATTAACTGGACCCATTCTCCATTGAAGGCAGAGCAACACTGTCTCTTGGGGCTCTAAAACCTAAACCCCAAGGGTCCTATCAAACCGTTCTCTCCATCCACTTACAACAAAATGATTTTCAAGGAAAGTTTTATGACAAACACAATTTTCCAGTGACATTAGCTTCCCAAAGATGTTTTTGTGCCTCTCGGCTGCCCTATTGGCCTTTGCTCCCAGATACTAACTGCATCCGAATATGGTTTTCCTATATCTGAGACCAAAAGTTCCTGTGTGTTGGATTAAATAGGGGTAATAAGAAAAGAATAAATAGGAGACATGTAAGTCAGGGACAGTTGAAGCCATACTGCAATTCCTATCAAACAAGAAAGAATTAGAGTTGTCTAATGTGATGAAGAGGGGATTCTTGAAAGTTTCAAGCCTTACTGGGCTTTTGGAGTCAGGATTTCTGAGGATGATAGTTTGAGGGTGATGGAAGATGCATGGAGTGTAGAGAATAGAAATAGCTCTTGCTGGTTTACAGAGGCAGGAATGAGGAGGCCAGGGGCTTATTTTTAAGTCAGTTCAGATAGACATACTGTGTTCTTACATTTGCACATAGTCAATTATTTTCCTGACTTTTAAAAAATGTTTTTATTGATTTCAGAGAGAGGAAGGACGAGGGAGGGAGAAACATCCATCTACTGCCTCCTGCACACCCTCTACTGGTGGTTGAGCCAGCAACCTGGGCATGTGCCTTGACTGGGAATTGAACAGGCAACCTTTTGGTGCATGGGATGATGCTCAACCAACTGAGCCATACTGGCCAGGGCTCCTAATTTTTTTTTAAGTGAGGCAGGAAGAGCTCCCTTCTGACTTCTAACTGTGGAATGCAAATACATTCATCTTAAAAAATTTTAGCTGACACACATTGAGCTCTATCTGGCAAGCATATACAGCTTGGTAATATACTTATTATATTGTATATGTGCATATTACATAGTAATATACACATTGCCTCCTTTTAGTAAGTGTGTGGTTTGAATGTCACCTCCTTCAGGAAGTCTTCCCTGATTACCCTGTGTAATTGTCATACCCATTCCAAATGCTTTCTATTATATCACCTTATGCTAGTTCCATCAAAGCCCTTGTCACTACTCCAAAGCTTCATATATATTTGTTTTGTTTTCCCTCCACTAGAACGTAAGCTCCGTAATAATAGGAGCTTATTTATCTCTCTTCTACAACCTGGTGAGTGCCTAAAATGATGACTAGCATGTAGTTCAAAATATATTTGTGGATTGCTGAATGAGTTAATGAATCCTCACAATTCTATGAGATAGTCCACTAAGATCCCAATTTTAGAGATGAGAAAAAGGAAATTTTGTAAACTTAACCTAATTTGCCTACAGTCCCACAACAAAACATTGGTAGAGTTTCTAATTGAATTCAGAACTATGAACTGTTTGGGCACAAAAGCCATGATCTTCAATTAACTAACATAATGATCAACAAACACTTATTGGGCAACTACTATAGGCCAGATCTTATAGCTGTTAACCAAAATTGTTAGCATCCTGTGTAGCTGTTCCATTGCAGTAAAAGAACAACTTCAAATCTCTTCTGGGCTCTTAATCACTATATTTGGAGATGGAACCTAATGTGGGAGCCCACACGTATGAGGCTTCCAGAGCATGTGCTAAAGGTAATTTAGAAGAATGAAATAAAACCAGTCTTTTCCGCCTTAGACAACGTAAGCCCATAAAAAGCTAATTAAATTAAAAAGTTACCTACATATTTTTTACCTTGGTTTATCTATATATATAAAAGGCTAATATGCCAAGTGTCCCCTTGGGAGTTCAACTGGGAGACCAGGAGTTCGATCGCTCGCTATGACGTGTGCTGACCACCAGGGGGTGGCATGGAATAAAGGAAGGCCCTGGACGGCAGCCAGCAGCCAGGAAGGAAGGCCCCGATTGGCCCTGATCACTGGCCAGGCCTAGGGACCCTACCCGTGCACGAATTTTGTGCACTGGGCCTCTAGTACTATTTATAATATATTCACATATGTGATCTCATTTATTGTTCCCAAGGAAGAAGGATAGGTTTTATCATCTCCATTTCATGTGTGAAGAAAAGTGAGGTTAACAAAGATTAAATAAGTTGCCTGGTCAGGCAGCCAATAGGAGATAAAACTTGAATTCAGCTCTTTGGATTAGGGGCATTACATTTTCTTTAAATCATTTCAGCACTGCATTGCCTGTAAGGGATTCTTCATTGTAGTTGTTGAACTATGGCTTTGTGTTTCTGGGTGTAGCTTATTGGTGGCAATACATTATATGGAGATATATGAACTAATTATATTTATAATCATAAAAATATATGTATAGTAATTTTAATTTTTTAAAGAACTTTTTAACTTGTATCTCATTGTATTCTTTATTTCTACATCATCATATCTTCATGCCAAAATAATTTAGATTTTGCAAGAAAAGTTTTAACACTGTAAGTTCATATTACACAGAAATGTATAAAGTAAAAAAACTGCAAACACCCCAATCTTCTTGCCTCCCTAAGTGTTTTTCTCCAGGGGTAATTAATATTGACAATAAAGGTTTTTAGTTAAACTCCTAGCCCTTGTTATATACATATAATTTAATTGAAACTATTTTTATTATTCAATTTTCTTATTGTATGTATCAATCACTCTTTTGTCCCTCCTGTCTGTCCAGAATTTTTTGTCTGAGCAGTTACAGCTAAGAAGGTTGAAACTCAAAGAACAGAAATTCTGCAAGATCTGGGCAAAGAGCAGCTGTAATAAGGAAGCAAAAAGCATACGAAATGGAAAGGAGAAAACATAGAATATGGGGCATGTAATAGTCTGTATCTACAGTGACTTAGGCAGCCTGCTTACTCTCTGGACCCCACTTTCTTAGCACAGACAGTGGACAGGAAACTGCACTACTTCCTCTGTGGTTGGGTTCCTTTTGATCATATTTCGCTGAAGGAAATTTTATAGAGATGATGAATCACCCCAGGGGAGCCCAAACGCTTCCCCAGGCCAACACGGCTCTGTTCACTGTGCATGTGTTTCTGCCACAGGAAGCTGTCCCATTCGAGGCTGGTCCAGCTCTATGGGGTATGCATCCAGCAGAAGCCCCTCTACATTGTGACGGAGTTTATGGAGAATGGCTGCCTGCTGGACTACCTCAGGGAGAGGAAAGGGACGCTCAGGAAGGAGATGCTGCTGAGCATGTGCCAGGACATATGCGAAGGGATGGAGTATCTGGAGAGAAACTGCTTCATTCACAGGGACTTAGTAAGTGTGGTGCAATTCCGCTGATTATTTTATGTAGCATGCTTATGTTCAGAAGGACGTAACAATTTAGGACTTTTGATACTTTGAATAATGCATACGCTGGCTTAATGCTAAAGCATTTTCTTCTTCATGCAATTTGTTCGGAAGTGTAGCTTTATTTATTTATTGTCTTTTTTTCTTTATTGATTAAGGTATTACATATGTGTCCTTATCCCCCCATTACCCCCCCCCCCCCAACTCATACCCTCAACCCCCTGGTGTGTGTGTCCATTGGTTAGGTTTATATGCATGCATACAAGTCCTTTGGTTGAACTCTCCCCCTTACCCTCCACCCCTCCACCTTCCTTCTAAGGTTTGAGGGTCTAATTGATGCTTCATCAGTTTATGTTGTTCATTATATTCCACAAATGAATGAGATCATGTGATATTTATCTTTCTCTGACTGGCTTATTTCACTTAGCATAATGCTCTCCAGTTCCATCCATGCTGTTGCAAATGGTAAGAATTTCTTATCTTTTACCGCAGCATAGTATTCCATTGTGTAGATGTACCACAGTTTTTAATCCACTCATCTGCTGATGGGCACTTAAGCTGTTTCCAAATCTTCGTCATGGTAAATTGTGCTGCTATGAACATAGGGGTGCATATATCCTTTCTGATTGGTCATACTTTTCAAAAGAGGACATAAGGAAGGCCAAGAGACATATGAAAACATGCTCAAAGTCTCTAATCATCCAAGATATGCAAATCAAAATGACAATGCGGTACCATCTTACACCTGTCAGAATGGTTATCATCAACAAATCAACAAAGGACAAGTGCTGGCGAGGATGCGGAGAAAAAGGAACCCTCGTGCACTGCTGGTGGAATGCAGACTGGTGCAGCCACTGTGGAAAAAAACCCCTAAAAATGGAACTCCCATCTGACCCAGTGATCCCACTTCTAAGAATGTAGCTTTATTTTTAATTGCCCAGTTGATGCTGTAGCCAAAGTAAGGTGCTACCTTAAATATGCCTTAAACTAATCAGCCACCATGCTATAAAACTAATTCACTTTTCTTTCCTCTCTCACTCTTTCCCCTTCCTCCCTCCCTTCCTTCCTTCCTTCCTTCCTTCCTTCCTTCCTTCCTTCCTTCCTTCCTTCCTTCCAGCAACCAAATAGGCATTGAGTATCTAGTAAATGCCAAGAGCTCTGCCAGGCATTGGAGATACAATAGCTAAGAGCAAGCTCCAGTGGTTCTCACCCAGGGGTGAGACCGCCCATGTGGAGGTGGTTTGGTTCTAACAGGAGTGCATCAGCATTACTGGCATTAATGAGATGACTAGAAATACTAAACCATTCTGTTCTGTAATGTTTTGAACAGTCCAAGTAAGTAAGTAAGTAAGTAAGTAAATAAATAAATAAATAAATAAATAGAGTCAAGGCTTATCTTGCCCAAGTGCTAATCGTTTGCTTTTCTGCTTTGCTTATTCCCCTTGAAAAACATTTTCTACCTACTCCTTATTTGTTCATGATATTCATACTGTTCCCTCTATGCCCTTCCATGTCTAATTTCTAAGCCCCAAAAGAACTCCGATGAGCATTCTGTGAGAAATCCCTGCTACTGTCACCTAGAGGTAGTCCTGTACTTCCATCACCATGACCAGAATGACCATATTATTCATCATTCCAGCTGAAATATTTTAGAGAGAGAAAGGAGGCATAATTTCATTGGCCCCAGCACACCATTGCTTGTCCTACATAACTTATAATGCATGGAACTTATTATTTTATTATTTCTACTTCCTAATTGTTTTTATTGTTTACACAAATGCTAGACTCTAAACTCCTGGAGATCAAGGCCTAGGAGCTTTTAAAACATCACAATAGCCAGATCATACCCAGAACAATTAAACCAGGATCTCTGAAAGTGGAATCCAGCCATCAATATTTTTTGAAACGTTTCATGGAAAGTCCCCTGTGCAGTCAAGATTGAGAACCACTGCTCCAGAGCTGGACTGTCTGGGTTGAAATTCACCTCTGTTTCTTACCAGCTAAGATGCTAGTTATCTAGCAAAGTGGTAGTGATTTAAGCACCTCCCTCATATGGGCTTATTGGGAGGGTTACATGAATTAATATGAATAAACACTTAACACAATGCTTGGCTCAGAGGAGAGCTCAGCAATGCTTACTATTGTTATTACATAGCAGGACCATTCTTTTGCATCCTTCCTGGCATATTCCCCAGTAGCACAAAGTAGCTATCAAGCAGATTTTTGAGTGGATGGATTTGGCATCCATTCCACCTAGCTCACCTTCCTAGACTCTGCAGGTTTGTCTTTCCTGATCAGGGTTAGAATTTAAAACTCAGTTGACAGTTCTGATCATTCTCTTTGCTCCAGGGGGTCTTCTTGCAGACTCTCCTATCCTTCATCTCTTCCTTCATTGTTTTCCTTTGTGTTCTATTTTATCCACCTGGATGCCACTTAAAATATATCAGCAACAAGGAATCTTTCCCTTCCAAGGGCTGCCTTGTGGTCTGTCTTTGAGATGGCCAGCCCTTGTCAACATCTTCCCAACTGGCTCCTTCTGACTTAACCATTTCAAGATTCTTGCTTTTATTTTAGGACTAACTACACCACAAAAATTTGATAAGAGAAAAATTCTATCAAAATAACCAAATAATAATTTTCTTGATTAGGTTGACTGAAAATAGAACGATTGGCATCAGATAGATCATCGCTGCATTATATAGAACTATATTTAGTTCACTGTGGTAATATTAAGAAATGTGAAAGTATCATTGTAAATAGTTATACTCAATGAGATGTAAGTTTTAAAATACAAGTTCTTAATTTTTATTAGCAATGGGACAATGGGACAATGGGACAATGACATGTCCCAAAGATATGTAACGACTATCCCTTATTTGTCATGTATATTGAGCCTTCTTTTTATTTAAGATACATTTAAAAATACACACTATTTTTTATGTCAAGAGTCATAGTTTACCATCTTTATTTAAGAGGATTTCCTCATTAAGATGGAGTTACTCTTCATATTTATCGAGGATACTTTTTGAAAATATAAAAAAATCTTTAAAAAGAAAAGTATTACAATTTCTTTTCACTTTTTTGTTCTTTCTCTGAAGAATCATTAAAATCTGCCATGTGAGGGCAGATATGCCAACTCATATACATCCCCCACCTGTCACAGGTGCCACCATAAAAATAACAGGCTGCCCACATAGAGAAGTAGGCTGGGTCCCAAGTAAACGAAGGAAAACGAGAGTAGAAACTCGAAAGCAAAACTTATATTCAAACTCGGGTTCTCTTCTTCTTTTATAGGCGGCAAGAAATTGTTTGGTCAGTTCTACAAGTATAGTAAAAATTTCGGACTTCGGAATGACAAGGTACATGACATATTTTGCTATTGTTTATTATAAAAGAAAATCTTGTATTTGTCTATTGACAAACTGAAAGATGTTATTGGCTTTGCTTTTTCCGCCCTGTTAATGTGGCTGTATGGCCTGCTGACCCACTTTGAATTTTAGGACATGCACCAATTTTAACTGTGAGGTAAATGGACTCTGTGGGCTATTCTGATCTCTTTTCATATATCATCATTAATAAAACTGTGACATATCTTAAAATTAAAAGTAATTCTCAGTCTACTCATTATATGTGTAAGATTAAGATATATATATATATATGGCTCTCTATATTTCTGAAAGAAAAAATAATTTGTTTGCTCAGTTCTGATTTTTCTATGTCATCATCATACATCCCTATTATCTGCCATAGGAGTTGACTTTAAGTCTACAGCTCAAAAGTGTAAAAAATCTAACCATATTCTTTATAACTCCTTGCAGTTTCTATTTTTACCCTTTCCTCCAGGTTGCTAGAAATTTAATTTCAGTCAATTCATGGTTTCTCCTTGACTCTCATCAGGGCCCAAATCCCAGTTCTGTGTGTTTCTTGGGGCCATAGTACTGGTAGGGGGATGGCCTGTCCGCTCCTTGTTATTGTCTATTGTCCACTGACACTGGCTTCCTTGCAGTCACCATCCTCTTGTTTTGTGCTTGGCTGGCCATCCACACAGGTGGCCACTGACTCATCCTGAGTTTCTGTCTGCAAGATTCCTTCCTATCTGACATTCCTGGGGGCTATCTAAGGCCCCATTTCCCCACATCCAGAGCTTTTTGTTCTCTGTGATCTTTCTGCCTCTCCTGGGCTCCACCCGGGAAAGAAGGCACAGGTTCTGTTTTGCTTTTGAATCCCACTAACCTATTGTGGTGACGTGGGGTCTTCTTTCTCTGCTATGTGATTGGGGAAGCTCATGTAGGGTGCAGGGTCAGTTCTCTACCTCAGCCACCCACTCAGGTTTAATATTTCTTCCCTTTCCCTTCTCCACGCTACTTCCCGGCTCAAGGGGCCTTTTCTAGAGAGATAGATGGTAGTAGTGTTGGGGGTAGGTCTCACTCTTATTCTCCCATATGAGCCATTCTCCCAAATATTTTGTTAATAATTCCATCCTTCTCCTTCTCTGGAAGCTCAAAAGCTATGAAAAATGGTTCTTTCCCTTTTGTTTTCTATGATTCATTCTTTCCCTTTAGTAGAATGACTTCTGGTTCAATAAAGACCTTAAAGATGGGGTGAGGTAGAGTATATGGGGAAAAGAAGTGCAATGTGGGGAAGCATTAATAGATAAATGTAAAAATACTATACTACATACTCAAGACAAGAGGCTACATAGCACGTTAGCTATCCTCTCTTCTCTCCAGATGCCCATTCTTGGATATTTCTGCAAATATCCAAAAAAGAGATTCTTGGATTCTCAAAAAAGAGAGAGGGTTCAATTTCTTTGTTATTTTTAAAAGGAGGTGGTAGCTACTACTGATTTCCTTCCCTATAGGGTCATTTTAATGCATTAGAAATTTTCCACCTCAAATATATTATGTTCAAATACTTTTATTTCCCCCTTCTCTGTTCCACAAAAAATATGCAGAAACAAAAGAAGACATTCAGCTGTAAATTTCTTTTTTATTATATATTTATTTTTATTTCCTTTTCTATAACCTTGGTTGTTAGACCATTCAGCACACTTCTTTGCAGATTTTATTGTAATTAGCATAATGAGTAAGGTATGTTTTGGACTGAAGAATGGCTATGGTTTTTTGAGACCCAAATAAAATAAACAAAATTGAGGCTTGGCTTGGAAAAGAAACGCTCTAAGGACTGCTTTCCCACTTTGAAAACAAAAAGGGAGGGCATGCAGAACTTTTGGGGGGTAAAACACGTTGTCTTCTAGAACTGACTTCACTGAAGGGACTTGAAGTAAACAGAACTTGGAGGTAACACGAAACACAATGTGCTTTGCAATCTGATGGCCTTAGGTACGTTTTGGATGATGAATACATCAGTTCTTCTGGAGCCAAGTTCCCAGTCAAGTGGTCCCCTCCGGAAGTTTTCCATTTCAACAAGTACAGTAGCAAATCTGATGTCTGGTCATTTGGTGAGTGAATTTAATGTTCTTTTAATGGAGCTTTATGTCATAAAATAGGCCAGTCTCTTAACATTTTGATTTCGTAACAGCATGCAGCATTGGAAAACAGTGCTTTCTGTCTTAAGTGTTCTGAACACACCCAGGCTGTCTTCGGCAACTGGTGTCCTTCACCTTCTGACATAAGTCTGCCTATTGGATCTTTTCCTTTCCCACTGAGCACTTGCTGTGAAACCATAAGAGGGTATCGAGTCTTCTGATCTAGGAAACAAACTCAGCCGACATGTCCACACCACAGAGACTTGTACGGAAAACTGATCTTATGGGGTCATTGACTTTCGAATGTAATTGATAAACTTCATTGTCTAACTGCTATGCAACATCCCCTAATTTCCTTCATTACCGTCAAATTTTGTAGAATTTAGACATAGGCCTCCTTGGGATCTGTCAATCGATACTTATATTGGGTAATGTTCTTCCCTGAGAAAGAGGCACTGTAGACCCATGCCCAATGGAGTCTGTTCTTCTAAATGATTTTCTAAGAGTGGCAACAAATGTGTGATTATCTACTCCCTGTCACCCCGACTTTCCTGGATGGCTTCTTGGGTTTGGAGGGACAGCTATATCCTCAGCAGGGTGTGAATTTTATTGTCACAATAAGGTTAAACTTGTGTCATTGATCTCATTACCTTTCCACTGACATGTGGTAGTCTTGGCAGGTGACATTTTAAGCTCTACTGGAGAGTTATGTCCTGAGACAAATAGATAGCAACCCAAGGGCCTCATTAAATGGCTGCAGAACAATGAGAACTGGAGTTTTACCTGCCCACTTGTCTCTCTTCAGCCCCCTTGGACAAGTGCGGTTCTTGAGCACCCGGACTGGTGTCATTCTTAAGAACCCTCTGGCTCTAGCATAGGCCTGGCCTCTTAATACCTAATACAAATTTGTAGAATAAGTGAATTATTAAATAAACTCAAATTGGGAGACTCGAAGAAGTTTCATGAATCAATCAATTAATCAATCAACACCTGTTTATGTGCAGAGCCCTTGCTAGGTAGTCTTCTGCTCAACCCAGCAGTCTAACTTCCAGTGTTGGAGGGGGATGCAAGCCATCTGCTAGCTGGTCAACTCTTGGTCTTAGCAGGCAGCAGGGCCTCAGACAATTCTGTTGTTTTCTGTGCAATGGCAAAAAGGTTTATTGATTTCAAGGTGTGGGGACACGAGAATACTTATAAAGGAAAGTGCTGGCAGCAATGTCTTCCAACAAGGAGGCAGACAAGGCCAATGGGAAAGGAAAGGCATCGTTTCCAACTGGAACATTCTCAGATTACAGGCCTGTCCTAAAACGAAGATGCACACAATCCCTAGATGGACCTGCTCTCATTCTGGGTGATTATCATGCAACGACTGAAAGAGGAAGATAATGCCGTACAATTTGAGACAGTTCTTTCAGTTCTAAGTAACCATTTCTCTCTACCCTCTGGTTTTTGTGCATTATCTTTGCAGGTGTTTTGATGTGGGAAGTTTTTACAGAAGGGAGAACGCCTTTTGAAAATAAGTCAAATTTGCAAGTTGTGGAAGCCATTTCTAAAGGCTTCAGGCTGTACCGCCCTCGCCTGGCACCAATGTCCATCTATGAAGTCATGTACCACTGCTGGCATGAGGTGAGTGTCCCTCACTTTCCCGTGAAGGTTGGCAGCCCCAGCATCTGAGAGCAGACCCATGTATCACATACCTCACTGCAGGACCCCATCATGGCAGGAAAAGGTGTCTGTTCCTTCGTAATGACCCCTGAGAGCCAGAAGCACTATTTCTCTCTGAAACTCCCACTGCAAAGTCATTAATCTATTCTGTTTTTAACAATGGCCTTTCATCTGAGGAATTCAGGATATTTTCCAAGTCTTATCTTTCTGCGATTGGTTCCTGCAGAAACTCTTGCAAGTAAAGCCTCAGTGATTAGCTGGTTTACACCTTTTAGGAACTGGTGGGTGGGAACTGAAGGTAGAATCAGGTTTGTTAAACTTCCACATTGGGAGAGAAGGATGGCGTTTTTACTTACTTCACTCTACTAATTTGTCTTGCTTTTCCAAGGCTAAACATAGTGGGTTTCATCTCTCTTGGTGCACTCAGGACTCTTGATAGAGAGATTAAACCAGAACAGAATGAAGGCAGAAAGGGTGCCAGGAACTTCTCAGGAAATGATCTTTAGGGAGCCCAATTTCTCTTTTTCTTGAAATGCCAAGCTTAAAAATAAAGCCAGAGGGGTTTATGTCTCACTACTGTCTTTTCTGGGCATTGATTCAATACACCCCTCCTGTCACATCAGACTCCCCAGTGATTTTGACAGCTCCTCTCTTTCCAGTTGACAGTTTCAGCCCAGAAAAACCACAGCTGGGTGAGGAATTTCCTCCTGGCTGAAAAAGAAACCACTTGATCTCCAGTCCACAAACACTGAAAAATTCAATATTTCAAGAATGATGTGGTTGTTCACACCCAGCGAAGTATTAATTTTATAAAGATACCTGGTGTATGAAAATATTTTACATATGACTAACTGATCTGCAAAGAATCTTGCAGGCTTTTAGTAGCAAACAGCTGTCTTAAGAACATCTTTGCATTAACATTGTAAATAGCTCAGGAATTGAGCTATTGTACTAGAGGCTCAGTGCATGAATTCGTGCACCAGTGGGGTCCCTTGGCCTGGCCTGTGGGATCGGGCTGAAACTGGCTCTCTGACATCCCCCTAGGGGTCCCAGATTGTGAGAGGTTGCAGGTCAGGCCGAGGGACCCCACCGATGTACGATCAGCCTGGGAAGGGACATGGGAGGTTGGCCAGCCGGGGAGGGACCATGAAAGGGCTCCAGGGCATGTCTGGCTCATCTCGCTCAGTCCCGATCAGCTAGACCCCAGCAGCAAGCTCACCTACCTGTTGGAGCATCTTCCTCCTGGTGGTCAGTGCACATCATAGCGAGCAGTTGAGCAGCCTTAGCATATCATTAGCATATTATGCTTTGATTGGTTGAATGGACGACCAGACGACCGGATGACCAGACACTTAGCATATTAGGCTTTTATTATATAGGATATGTATGTATACTTATACATACAATAAAATACCTATTGAAATTTTATATTTTTGTGGGGAGGAGACAAAGAAGGGGGAAGTAAGTGACATCAGTCTCAAATAACAGTTGGAACACGGATTAAAGCAGTGTTTTGGTTATGTTGATGTACTTGTTTGCAAAGTTGATTTTGCCTACAACTTTTGCCCCAAGGGCTTAGGCGCCTCTAGATCCAACATGATAATAATAGCATTGATACACACGTTTCATAGTCTCTAGTGACTGTGGAACTTCAGCCCCTACAAACCTTCACCATATATTCTTGGAATTTCAAGGAGGATTCTCACATGAGCTCACATCTTCCTTTGCTCTTTTTTATTATTCAAAAGCCATTAAGGGTGTCTGTCTCCCCACTAACCCTGCCGCCTATGCCTTGGTGAGAATGTGGGCTACCATGAGTAGTTCCATTTGCCAACAGGGTCATCTCCTCTTCCTCATGGAGCCAAAGCCAAACCACAGCCCACGGGGACATAGGAAAATGCTCCAGTCCTTGGCCCGTGGCCAGGGACTTTGCTAACTAAGCCTCAAGAAAGCACAGCTTGTGCTCCAGGACCTGCCAAGTCCCTTATGAAAACATGTCTTTTGCTTTGTGATTGAAATCCTTCTTTCTACAGGGGATCAGGTGTAGTAAATAACTGGGACTGCGTGTGGGAGCCTAGTACTCTAGATGCCCCTTCTTTCCCCGCTCTTCCCTTACCTCATGCATATCAAATTATCCAAGTCGATCTCAGGCAGTACTGGCCAACAGAACCTTCTATGATGACGGAAATGTGCTATGTCTGTGCTATCCAACATGGTGGCCATGACTGGCCATGAAGACTTGCAAAGTGGCTGGTGTGACTGAAAACTGAGTTTTAAAATGTACTTAATTGAATTAGTTGAAATTTAAATAGCCACATGTGGCTAGTGTTTGCAGCTCTAGCCATTTTATCTTTGCAGTGCCCTCTATCTTAGATTTTCACATCCTACCTCACGCCACTGCCAATCACGCCCCGTGGGACAGCCAAGGTGTCTTTCTCTTCTGTTTGTGGAGAACTAGCCTGGATCCAGGTCCGTGCTGGCAGGTTCCGGAACTGGTGTCTGAGTGAGTCTGAAGCTGAGCTGACCACCTCTGCTTCCCTTTTCCAGAAACCTAAAGGCCGTCCTACGTTTGCTGAGCTGCTGCGGGTTCTCTCTGAGATTGCAGAAACTTGGTGACTTGAGTGGAATGCCAACCCAGAAGATCGTGTCGCCAAATTGTCTCAAAAGGAAAAGCTGTGTGGGTCACTGTTGGTGAATATCTTCCTTCAGAGTTGCTGCCTCTTGGAAACATTATCAAGATCACAGGCTTCCCAAATGTTTTATAAAATTTAAGAATATCCTGACAACAGATTTCCTACATGTTTGAGAGGGACTTCTAAACTCTTCATTCTTCATGCCCTATTTATGAAAATGGGACAAATGCTCTATCGCATTTATAAGAATAGCCCTGAGAACCCCTGAGGGTTCATGGAAACGTGATTCTTTGAGGGTGGAGGGAATTTATTTCCTGAAGAGGAGTGACACTCTTTACGTCAGTCAGCCATGCACAGAAGATGAAAATAAATTTTGCCAAGTCATGGACTAAAGGAGCCTCCCCTGCAGAATCTCATGCTTTGGATCTACACAGATCTTTCTAGAAACTTACCTTCATTTTACAAACCACATGCCTGTGAGCAGTCTGGAACTGTCCTGTATAGTCTTCCCTATGTTATTTAACAAATTGTTTTTGCACATACCTGATACTTTTGGGGACAGTTTCTTATATTCCAGTTTTAAACATTGCTGTAGTAGACAACACACATTCTTCTTTGTACAGGTCCTGGTAACATTTCCCTGTCCAGTAATACCCATTGTGGGGACTCTGGCCAGAGGACACTGCATGTTAAAGGCCCATTTGCCATACGCATGCGAAAAGGCAATGACTCAGCAGTATCACTGTACTGTGCAGGCGCACCCTTATATAACCTACTTATGTTCATGTAGCACAGATGTCACTAATTGGCAGGAGGCCTCTTTTGTTTGAGTGAGTATATAAGGTGCCACTGACCAGGCAGTTGTCTGCTTTGTTTGCAATAAAGCATGACCCGTCTCCCTATGCCTGCTCATGTCTTTTTCCAATTCCTGGCGTCCAAAGAAATCAAGTCCATAACAGAGGAACTTGGACCCAACATCCATTGTCAGGGGCAGTTCAGAGCCTGAATTTCAATTCCAAGATTTCACACTTTGTCCATGTGACATTGGCCAACTTAAGAAGTACCTCCTGCACCTTACCAGAAGATGACTTGGTTTTTCCACAAGAACAAGAGGGAGGCAAAAATAAGACAACCAACTGTTACATCAGGCTCCTTCATTTCTGAAGTCCAGGGTTTTGAATTCATGATTAAGCAACCAGCAGTCATAATAAAATCTTAATTTCTCATGCACTGTTTGTAGGAATGATTGGAAACGGATCTTTATCATTCTGAGTGCTTCAGAAGTTCCATGCGAAGAAGGTTATGATAGAAAGCACACGTATCATTACCGTGGGGTCTAACAACAGGAGCCCATTATTTTTATGCTATCCTGCCCTGCATCGTGGTTCTGAAGGAACTTGTTTTATATATATTTTTTTAGATTCTAAGTTGCTGGCTGTCAGTGGTTGTGATTTTAAATCATATTTGCCCACTCTAAGAACGACATCTTTGAATATCAATAGTATCCAATAAATATGCGTTGAAATAATCAAACATCAGGCACCAGAAGAATCTTGATAACTCAAGTGGGGGCCTCAGACATGTTTGTCTGAGACACTGTGCCATTTCTGAGATTATCACCTGCTTTCCTCGTGGCTTCTGCTACGGGGAGGGAAGACAGAGGGCTCCTACTACTGAGACCATAGTTCAAGTAAAATGATGTGAAAGTGTAGCTCAAGAGGCCATGAGACTATTAAGCAGCAAAAGCAGAGGGAGGGGAGGTTAATGTTATAACAGGAAATAAAGTAGTACCAATATAGGCAGTAAGATGTCTTTCTTGGGTTTTACTAAGCTTAGCAGTCCTCACTCTCCCCTCAAAAGAAAACAACAACATACCGAACACTGAAATGCTGGGAGTGCCCACAGAGCATCTGCCGTCACTCTCAATGCCGTGCAGGGAGACAGGGCACAGAGCAGAGTGGTGGTACAGGTAAGTTATCCTGGGAGTCGTAGGGTGGCAGCAGGGACTTCTAAGAGCATCTATGGTGATGGTAGGCAAGTTCTATTCCTTTTGTGTTAACATTTTAGAAAAGTTTGAAACACCAAATTAGGAACAGGAATCATGAATGTAACTGAGACTCAGATAATGTTTGGATTTGGAATGTCCATGGACAGAGAGTCAGCATTCCCTACCTAACAAAAGAAAAAATTTCCTTAAGAAGTAGTTAGACAACTCCCTTTGGAAGGGAGTTGCTTTGCAACAGATCTTTGTATTAGTTATTTACATAAGCTCTCTGTGGGTGGCTTGACTGGTTAAGGATGAGATTGTTCAAGAGTTAAACCAGTGATGGCGAACCTTTTGAGCTCGGCATATTAGCATTTTGAAAAACCCTAACTTAACTCTGGTGCGGTGTCACATATAGAAATTTTTTGATATTTGCAACCATAGTAAAACAAAGATTTATATTTTTGATATTTATTTGATATATTTAAATGCCATTTAACAAAGAAAAATCAACCAAAAAAATGAGTTTGTGTGTCACCTCTGACACACGTGTCATAGGTTCGTCATCACTGAGTTAACAGTTCTGCATAATGAGTGGACAGGAAGTTTAGAGGTTGGTGGTAGGTGAGAGCCCTAAAAAAGGAGAAGACAGGAAGTCAAAGCAGAGAGAAAAGCTCAGAAAAACAGAATGAACTTGGAGGCCAAGCAGAAGATATGATCAGGGTAAATAGCCTTTTGGCAAGAAGAGCCAAAACATGTTTTCTGTTTAGTAAACTTTGAATTGAAGCACAATACATGGTCCCACCACTGCATTGGTGACATGTTTGAGTGGCAATCAAACTCACAAGACACCATAGTATTTAATCCAGCACTAAGTTTATTTAGCTGTTTAGAAAGATTCGGGACAGGAAAAAGAGTATGCACGGCCCTCAGTGCCAATGGAAGCCGACCAGTCCTCCATGTGCATGGATGCTCGGGTCCCCCCTCATCTGCCAGGAGAGCGTATGATTGCTGGCAATGAGGCCATGACGTGTGGTGTTCATCTTGATGCAAAGAAGCTTATCCCTTGGTTTTCGACCTGTCCTGTAGGCCTGCAGTTCACAGGCCTCCCAACCCATGTGCTGTCTCACAGATCAGAGGTTTCACGGTTACAAAACACATGTCTGGCCCTGGTACCCAGATTTACCTTATCTTGGGACATATCCGAGGGACTGGTGCTGGGTGACGGCAAACCTAAAGTCCTCTCAGACAGGTAGGTCTAGATCTGGGAGAAAAACAGGACAGGACTGCTGTTGACCCTTTGCTCCCCACACATAAAGTACACAAATTGTATATACAGCTTAATTTTCACGAAGTGAGTACATCTGTGAAACTAGCACTAGATCAAGACATGGTACATTCCAGAATTTCAGGATCCATTCTCATTCCCTGTTCAAGTCATTACCCCAACAGCAATCAATATCCTGATTGCCAACGCAAACTTTCTGTAAACAGAATCCTATGGCATTGTAGTCTTTGTGCCTGGCTTCTTTCACTTAATATGTTTGTTTGATCCATCTATCTTATATATAGGTAGTTGTATTTCATTCATTTTCATCTCTGTATAGTCTTCCATTATACAATTATACTACAGGTTATTTATCTACTCTACTCTTGATGGATATTTGGGTTGTTTCCAACTTTTGGCTATAGATCAGTGCTGCTATGAACATTCGTCTACATGTCTTTTGGTGAAAATATGTATGTACTTCCGTTAGGTATACCTAGGAGTGGAATTGCAGGGCTAACAATTATGTGTACATTCAGCTTTTGTAAATAGTGCCAAACAGTGTTCCTAAGCGGATACAACCAGATTCATAACCAGCAGCAGTGCATGAGTGTTCCAGCTGCTTCACGTCCTCAACAACACGTGGAATTGTCTTGGCCATAACAATGGCTAAAGGACTTTTATGGGCAAGGGTGTCTCATATTCAATTTTAAGTTGCTTGTTTGAGCTGTGCTACAATATAATATCTACCCACCCACTCCCCAGTCTTTGTTGTCAACATAATAGTATGCTATATGCACAATCTAAAATAAATAATACTTGAGAAGACTGAAGTAATTTAGGATGATAATAAAGAAAATATTAGAGATGTACTGCAGAGCAGAGAAGGGGGGATAGAGAGGAAGGGAGAGGGAGAGATAGAAACATCAATGATGAGAGAGAATCGTTGATTGGCTGTCTCCTGCACACCTCCTACCAGGGATTGAGCCTGCAATCCAGGCATGGGTTTGGTGACTTTTATGGTAAACTTTCTAGGAAAGCTCAAAGTGCAGGTGATGAATCTGCTTGGATTGGAGTGGCATGCTCTGTTTACTGCTGTCACCTGTACCTACATACTCATTTATCTCTTGCTCCTCTCTGATTTGCCCATGCGAGCCCTTGCAAACCCCAGACACCTTCTTATCTCAAGACCTGTGCACCTGCTGTTCTCTATACCAGAAGTCCTTTTCCTGGGTATCTATATGGTTTGCTTCCTCATCACTTCCAGGTTGTTGCTCAAATGTCACTCTCTCTGTGAGAGATTTCTCTAATACCACTATTTAAAATTGTACCCTCACCAGGAATATTCCCTGTCTACCTTTTCTGTAGATTCTGCTCTCAACACGATACAGTGGGGCCTTGACTTACGAGTGTCCTGACTAACGAGTTTTTTGAGATACCAGCTGTCTCTCAGCCGATTTTTTGCATTGAGTTGATAGAGTAATTTGAGTTAATGAGCTCCTTAACGAGCTCGGTCTCGAAACGAATTAAACTCGTAAGTCAAGGCCCCACTGTATAACAAATCATATAGGGCTACTTATTTATTTGGTCTATTGTCTGCCCCCTTCCTCCTGCAACTGTAAACATGTATGAGGTCAGGTATTTTTGTCTGTTTTGTTCACTGCTGCATCCACCTGTCTCAATGGTACCTTCAACCCATATAATACCACTTACCACTGCCCCTCTTTTCAAAACCACTGGGCTAGAGGATGCTAGCTTTTTACTTCCTCTTCCTGGCGTGGTCCTCCCAACTAGAATGACCTGAGACCTTTAGGGAAGTACTATTGCTCAGGTCCCACCATTTCACTCATCTTTTCATTCTGATTTAACTGCTCTGAGGGGGACACAGGCATTGGTGGTTTTAAAACAAATTACCCCAAGTGATTCTCACCCAGAGTTGAGAACCACTGTTCTAGGTTCTCAAACTTCACTGCTTATTAGTATAATATAGGGAGCTTTTCAAAATCCTGATCCCCAGGCTGTACTCTAGACCACTTAAATCACAATATCTATGGCGGTAGTTTTAAAGCTCCTTTTAAATATGAGAACCAGGCCAGTTCTTCTCAAACTGTAATCTATGCACAGTCGCCTGGGGACTTCGTTAAAACGCAGGTTCTGATTCAGTAGATCCACAGTGGGACCTCATATTCTGCATTTCTAACAAGCTCCCAGCTGATGTCAAAGGTGCAGATCCATGGACCACACCTTTCACCCCAGAGGACATTTACATCCAGTCCCTGCCCCCAAGGCTAACAGGATTCAGAGAGGGGAGCTCTGGTTTATGGGTAGGTGAAGGTATTTCAAAGACATTATACCCATTACATAAGGCCACAGACAACTTTCTAGTAGTTGCTATGGGCTTATCTTGCAAGAGTCAGCTACTACTCTCATTCTTCCTGTTATGAAGGTTAAAATACTCAATTTTCTACGCTCTCTTGCCACAAGCACACCCACACCAGCAAGTTCCACATAGTGAAATGCAACCAGAAGCACCTGGGCAAGGAGAGTTTGCCTTCCCCAATAACAAGCCAAGTCTCACCAGAAGGAAATCTCTTCCTGCTTGGAGCATGGCTTGGAGACCTGGAGTTGGCGTGCCCACCTGTGACTCAGAGG